TCCTTTTTGTGAGTTCTGGTTCCATTCATAGCATCCTCTTCCACCCAATAAATCACTCACCTCAGAAATCTGGATTTCACTGGTTCTGACTCCTTATCATAAATCACTCATGGAAATAGTTATACCTGCAACCAGAATTGAAGCAAGAGCACAGGTGAGGCCTGCCCCCTTCTTTTCCTATTCTGGCTTGGACCCATTGCAGGAGGGCCCTCACAGCCACATGTGGCTACTCAACCAGCACGCCCAAGCTGTCCATCCTCCCAAACCTAAGGCCTAGGGGTACGCACAAGAAGCTTGGTTTTCCCTCAAGAGAACTATCCAGGGGGACAGGCTTGTTTGTGGACTGTTTGAGCAAAGAACTCCAAGGTCCTGGATACTTTGGATTTGTGATCTAGAAGGGGAGGAGGAGATGTGAACTCGGGATAGATACATCCCCTGAGCATCGCAGGGAAAAGTGCCACCGGAGGAAGGCCAGATTGGAGCCCTCTCAAGAGCAGGCTACATCTGGAAGGCCTCGTTACTCTTATCCAATAGCAATACTACGTTGGCTAAAACCCAAGCTCCAAAAGAGTGAATGTAACTGAACAAGAGTGAAGTCCAGAAAGCATGCTTCTTCCTTGCCTTGCCTAAAAACCAAAGATTTAAGATTTATGAGTCAAGAGCTATCAATGTAAAGATTTAGAAAAGAAAATCTTGGGTAAAAATTCTATGAAAAAAATGGAGTTCATCAAAATTTACAACTTTGGTTCTTTGAAAAATACTATTAAGAGAATGAGCCCTGGCCAGTTTTGCTCAGTGGTTAGAGCATTGCCCCATGGACCAGAGAGACTCGGGTTCGGTCCCTGCTAAGGGTACGTTCCTTGGTTTCGGTTCATCCCCGGAACCGGGTGGGGTCGTGCCGGTGGCAACCAGTTGATGTGTCTCTCTCACACCAATATTTCTCTCTCTCTCTTTCGCCCTCTCTCTCTCTCCCACTCTATCTGAAGATAAATGCAAAAAAAAAAAAAAATGGCCTCAGGTGAGGATAAAAAAGAGAGAGAGAGAGAAAGAGAGAGAGAGAATGAAAAGACAAGCCAAAGACTGGGGGAAATATTTGCAAATCATATATCTAATGAAGGAATTATATCCAAAATATATAAAGGACTCTCAAAACTCAATAAAAACCAGGAATCTAAAACTTTCATTAGAGTCTCAAAGGAATCAGATTCTCCCCAAAATATATATATATATATTTTTTATCCTCACCGAGGACATTTTTCCATTTTTTATTCAGACAGAGCAGGAGGGAGAGAGAGGAAGAGAAACATCGACGTGAAAGGGACACATAGACTGGCTGCCATCCACACGACCCAACCTGGGCCGGGGACAAACTGCAACCGAAGTACATGCCCTTAGCGGGAACCGAACCCGGGTCTCTCTGGACCGCAGGCCGACACTCTAACCGCTGAGCCAAACCGGCCAGGGCTTTTTTTTTTTTTTTATCCTCACCTGAGGACATTTTTCCATTTTTTGTACAGATAGAGTGGGAGGGAGAGAGAGGAAGAGAGAGAGAGAGAAACATCGACGTGAAAGGGACACATCGAGTGGCTGCCAACCACACGACCAATCAGGGCCGGGGACAAACTGCAACCGAAGTACGTGCCCTTAGCGGGAACCGAACCCGGGTCTCTCCGTACCGCAGGCTGACGCTCTAACCACTGAGCAAAACCGGCCAGGGCTCTCCCCAAAATATTAAGAACCATTAATTTACGTGCTCGGCTTGGAGGATTGAGAGGTTAACCAGATGCCAAACCTAGAGCAGGGAGCTTAGAATCCTGCCCAAATTCCCTGTATTGGAAGCCTGCCTTGAAATACATCTCCAAAGTTGTACAGAAAGATCTATTCCTAGATAACCCTCCAAAGATGATATATTGAGTACAGGACCCCTCAGGGTCAGGTGTTTTTATCCCAGCTTTACCTTGGGAGCTGGGGGGGGGGCTAGTGTCTTAGACTGGTCACATTGCCTCTGGGAGCCTTCTTTTTGCATAAGGCCCCACTAGATACCCAATGACAGAATTTCTACAGTGCCTTTACGAGTAGCGTGCTTGTGACAAATTAGAAATGTCACCAGCCCTGCTTGAAAGGAATGAAATTTGTACATACTATCCTCTCATTTACCCAAATATTTGTTGCCTGCTTACTCTAAGTAAAACATCTGCTAGGGACTGAAGATACAATGGTGAGCAAGATACAGCGACCTCTACAAGGCTGTCAAAGTCTGAGGAGGTGATGGAAAAGTAAACAGGCAGCAAAACAGGGATAAAGTGCTTTGATTGGGATAAACCCAGTGAACTATGGAAGGAATACCTGGTCCAGTCTGGTGGGATCAGGGGAGGTTTCCTAGAACAAGTTAGGTATGAGATCTGAAGGATGAGGAGGAGTTGGCCAGAGTAGAAAGAGAGAGACAGATCCAGCTTGGAGATGTCGCAAGTACGGGAAAGTGCCGAGACCAGAAGCTGAGGGCAGCAGAGGCCAGATCATGGTGGCCTCCTCATAAAGTACACTGGAGAGTTTCACAGTGTGCTCCTGGTGATGGGAAGCACGAGAAGGTTTTATACGGAACAGTGGCAAGAAGAGATTTGCCCTTCAGAAAGCTCAGTCTAGCTGCAGCACGGGAGAATAGACTGAGGGGGTGGAAATAGAAAAGAGATTCATTAGGACCTTGTTTCCATAAGGAAGAGGTGGCCTGAATAACTGCAGCTAATATTTTGAGCCTTGTTATCTCATTTTAATCTCTGCAACTCTATGAGGTAGATATAATTGGCCCCATTTAATGGATGGGAAACCCAAGGTACAGAAAAGCGAAGTAATCTGCCCAAGGTCACATGGTAAGTGATGGCAGTAGAGCAAGGTAGGTGCATTGGAGAAATATTTAGGAGGTGATATGGTCATGTCTGGATGACTAATATTAATTCAATTAATATTAATTTTGGGAGGGTGGCTAAAGGAGCAGGAATTATCAAGTTAGATATGCCAAGTTTCTAGCTTGGATAACTAAGCAATGAATGAGTTAGGGAACACAGAAGCAGGTAGGGGTGGTGGAAGAAACTGGTAAGCTCAGTTTGAGGAGCCTGGGTAATTTCCAAGTGGAGATGTCTATAAGGCAATTCATGGTGTGAAACTCAAAGTGAGAATTTGATGTTATCGGCCTCAATCTCTCCCAGAAGCAAAAACAAAACCACCTTTGGAGGAGCTGAAGATGACACAAACTTTGAACATGAAGCATTTAGAAAAACATACAATGGTTTCAACTACAAAACAATATTAGGTCATTACAGCGTAGTGTTCTGTTAATTTTATTCCCCAGTTTTTTGTTTTTTTTATCTTTACCTGAGGACATTTTTCCACTTTTTGTTCAGATACAGTGGGAGGGAGAGGAAGAGAGAGAGAGAGAGAAATATCGATGTGAAAGGGACACATTGAGTGGCTGCCACCTGCACAACCCAACCAGGGCTGGGGACAAACTGCAACCAAGGTACGTGACCTTAGCGGGAACCAAACCCGGGTCTCTCCAGACCACAGGCAGACACTCTAACCACTGAGCCAAACCGGTCAGGGCATTCCTCAGTCGTTTTTTACTAATGGCCCTTTACCTTGAAGTCTCCTATAGAGAAGCAGGACCCAGAGATGGGTATCTAACCAGTGCTTCAGGGTCCTTTTCTCCCAGGGCATAGGCACTCCCCTTTTGAACAACACCGTCTTCGAAACATTAGGGAACCATCTAACCGATGATCATTTCAGTGCTCTCAGTGGAGTCCCAATGTCCTAGAAGCACAGCCTGAACCAACCCCCAGCCTCCTAGAGAACAAAGAAATATTAACACATCTAATAGCCTTAGAGGGGAAGCCCCAGGTGAATTTCTCCTGGTGAACTGGCATTTTCCTTCCCAGAAATTAAAAGTGCAGAATATGTAGACAGAGAAATCGAATTTTAAAAATTGTTTTGGTAACATTTATTTTCCAAGACTTGGCTATAAAATTAATTCAATTTTTCTTCCATGTTTGTATTTTTGCCCAATTTAGCACTTCCATACCTTACCTCTGCCTAGACTGGCCCTTCATTTAAAAAGGGCTTCGTAAGAGAACATTATTCATAAATAATTTGAAAATTATGGCCACACCCCAGTAACACATAATCACTGCCTTAGGCAGATGGTGCAACTATATCATGAATAGAGAGCCTTTGAGTGTTTCTAAAAGCTATCTGTTCTGGAATTCCAATATTGGTTCACTGGTTCAGTAGAAATTTAGTATTTTGTTGTTGTTGATCCTCACCCGAGAATATGTTTCCAGTGATTTTTAGATAGAACAGAAGGAAAGGAGAGAGAGGGGGAGGAGGAGGGGGGAGGGAGAAAGTGAGACAGACAGACAGACATTGATTGATTGCCTCCCACCTAACATCAACAAGGGCCAGGGATCAACCTGAAACCGAGGTATGTGCCCTTGACCAGGAATCAAACCTGTGACCCTCCAGTCCATAGGCCGATGCTCTAACTGCTAAGCCAAACTGACCAGGGCTGTTTTAGTATTCTTAATAGATACCCAAAAACATCTCCTTAAAACAATAAGGCCTCCTTTCATTTTTCCTTTTGGATGTGGTTGTGTTTTTTCCCCTTCTCCAAAGCTAATGAGTTAGTCACTCATACCAAATATGTCCATGTTGTCTTGCCAACAGCCTAATCTTCATAGGAAATTGTTCAGGTTTTCGCATCTTCCCAAAACATGGCAGTATCCAAAGGGCTCACCAATGCGTGAACACGATGTATTCCCAAATTTCCACAAGAACATCTGAATAAATGCATGAATGTAAAGAACAACTGGGCCCAATTTTAATGAATCTGATGAAGACACATTTTATGAATCGGTGCTAGATTGCTAAAATAATTCTCAGTTTTTAGATTTTAAAAATTATACTTTTAATTATAGAATATTGTTAGAATAATACAGATATAGACACTAGGATAACTGACCAATACCATAAGGAAAACTGCTCTACATACTTACTTGTTCATTCACTCTCCACAACCATAGAAAACAGGCACAAAGTGTTCAGGGTATGTGCAGAAGCAGCCAGAGTCTTGGGAGCAGAAGGCATGCAAAAGGCATTAGCAAGGAGAGTCTGATGCATAACTTTTACACAAAGTTCAACAAATGGGCAGCAATTGGCAGAAAAGAGGAGAAAGAGCTGGTCTGGTCTTTGACCTTTAACTTCCCAGCTGGAGTGTACATGTATGGAGAGATGGCAAGAGTACTTAAGAAGCCAAAAAGCAGCAGCAGGCACAGTGTGGGGTTGGGGCTGGAGAGAAGGGAAGGAAAAGGGGTGAAATACAGTTAGGTCATAAAGATGCTGTCTTCTATGGCCACTCCAAAGCTGATGCCCTAGTGGCTCACAGAAACAGGAGAACTCTGATATTCATTAAAACCATCAGCAACACTGATATGGTAAAAGACATATTTGAGTTTAGTCATTAAGAACATGTAAGTCATTCAACAATTAAAATATGGATACCCACCGTCAGCTAGATTTTGTGTAGAACAAAAAACATGCTTCTTGCCCGAGTCTCTATTTAAATAGCAGTGGCAACAGAAAGAAAGCTCCTTGGTGGTTTTTCATTTTGTTACTTTCAAGGTTGTGTCATTTGCAAGGGACACAGTCCCACACAGCTGTGGGTCATAACTCACTACAGTACACTACCCTAGAGAGACCACTGGCTCTTTAACACCAAGTCCCAAAGAGCTGTGGCAAAAGTAGTTTTCAAATGTTACAACTCTCACAATAAAGCACAGTAGAAATAACTTGAGGCACGCAAAAAAAAAATATTCCTCACTTGAGTCCCATCTCCTGGGCGTCAATTTTCTTCCACTCACACCCCCAAATACTTGGATAAGCACCAACATTTGGGGTATTTCTTAATTCTTATTTGGGCTGAGATAAGAACTGACATTACTGGGTTTACATTGAGTCAACTCTTATTTTAACCACTTATATCTTTAGGCTGAGAGGATGAAAATACATCCCTATAGATTTATTAAGTCCTTGTGACTAGCCCAAAGAGAAGATACGCAGTCTGAGAACAGGACAGTCAACCTATTTGTCCAGTCATTATCTCCCACAATTGACTGATACATATAAACAAGTGCTTAGTTCTGCACAACGACAGACCTTACAAGAGTGCACACTAGAGCACTAGTGTTTAAAATTTTTCTTCATAAAGAATGAAAAGAACATTTCTCACATTGGAGTTGTGTCTGTAGTTCTGTCACACGGTCAGCATCACCCAAGAACATGCTAATTCTGTGTGAATTAAGTTTCTGCTATTGGGAAAACCACAGGAATACACATTTTACTGTACATACACATGCCCTTATGCAAACTAAGAGAAACACTGGGAAGTGGCCCTATCAAATCCTAGAGTTAGCAGTATAGGGAGAATTGATCTTAAAGGGTAGAGGGGAAAGAACACAGAAATGACTTGTGTTCCTTGGGAAGGGACTCTGCTTCCTTCCCTGAAATTGTCAATTCCACTTGTTCCTTGCACTCCACCAACACTTATGGTCTTATCTTTCCTTGAAGACATTTTTCCCTAAAATGTTCCCTACAGTGATCCCCAAAGAAAATTAATAAATTCTGATTAATGGCAATAACAACAGTGGGCATCACTTGCTAAAGTCATCACCATTGATGAGTCCTTGGTCCCCAAACCTGTGTTTCATTTTTCCTTGCATTCTGTATCTTCAGTTAGTTTTCACAAAGATGCAAGCTTTAAAAAAGTTAGAAACAATGAGAATGAAAAATGTTATGATCATTGCCTTCATAGTGCACAATCCAAAAAATCTCAGGAAGCTGTAAAGATACAAGTGCATGAGCAACTCAAGGAAAAAGCCCTTTGAAGGGGAAGATGTGTGTGCCCAACTACTATGGTAAGTGAATACATGTGGCAATTGAGGCAAAGTCTCGTCTTTTTCCAGCTGTGACCACCCTATTACAGTCCAACATTTCCCCTAGCACAGTTTTTTGGGCCAAGGCTAGGAGAAATAACTTTTTAAATTTTACTCTATTTTCAGGCCTGAGCATTTACCAACATTACTTGTGGGGCTGATTTTGATGAAGTACTTCATTAATATTGAGTGAATAAAAATCACTATTTTGGAGAGGGAATAACATTCCCAAAGCCGTGGGTCAGACTTTCAAATGGCTGGTCTTCTTTGATATTTTAACTGTGGCCTACAACAAGGAAATTAGGTACAGTATAAGAAACTGTCTTGAGAGAGCTCTTTGATATCAAATAAAATTGTAGCTTCAAATGAATCATTTCTCAGTCATGATTACAGGACTTAGTCAGTGTGAACTCTCTTATGTTTAATAAGAGCTGAGCTCCGGCTGAAACTCTTCTCGCATTCAGTACATTCATAAGGCTTCTCTCCCGTATGAACTCTTTGATGTGTGATGAGATTGGAGCTCTGAGTGAAACCTTTTCCACACTGCACACACTCATAAGGCTTCTCTCCTGTATGGGTTCTCTGGTGTTTAATTAGATCTGACCTTTCACCAAAGCTTCGCCAACACTCATTGCACTCATAGGGCTTCTCTCCAGTGTGAATTTTCTGGTGTGTGATGAGATGAGAACTCCGGCTGAAGCTTTTCCCACAAGCATTACATTCATATGGCTTTTCCCCAGTGTGGGTTCTCTGATGCTGAACCAAGTGTGAGATGCGGCTGAAATTCTCCCCACATTCATTACAGTGGTATGGCTTTTCTCCAGTGTGGGCTCTGCGATGGCGCACAAGGTCAGAGTTCTGACTGAAATTCTTCCCACACTCATCACACTTGTAGGGCCTCTCTCCTGTGTGGACTCGATAGTGTTTGATGAGATCAGATCTTTCACTGAAGCCTCGCCCACATTCATTACACTCATAAGGCTTCTCACCTGTGTGGGTCCTCTGGTGCTGAGCTAAGTGAGAGCTCCGACTGAAGCTTTTCCCACACTCCTCACACTCATAGGGTTTCTCCCCACTGTGGGTCCTTTGGTGTTGGATTAGATGAGAGAGCCGGCAGAAGCTTTTCCCACACTCATTACATTTGTGGGGCTTTTCTCCAGTGTGGATTGTCTGATGCTGGATGAGATGAGAGCTTCTTCCAAAACTTTTCCCACACTCATTACAGTCATAGGGTCTCTCTCCAGTGTGTGTTCTTTGATGCTGAATAAGGTGTGAGCTCCGACTGAAGCCCTTTCCACATTCATAACACTTATAGGGTCTGTCTCCAGTGTGCGTTTTCTGATGTCGATTAAGGTCTGAGATCTGACTAAAGGCCTTTCCACAATGAGAACATATATGATATTGAATACCTGTGTGAATTTCTTTGTGGACAAGCAGATCTGTGACTTGTTGGAGAGGATAGCTTACCCACTCTTCTGCTGTTAAATCTCCCCACTGTCTTTCTGATCTATCCCTGCTTTCAAAGCCCTCTTCAATTTCAGGATTTTCCTCAGTATTCCCAACAGGTCTTTCAGATGTGGTCCCAAATTCTACATCTTCACTAATCTCTTGCTTTGGATTCACCTCGTTCTCACTCCTGATCTCAAAATCTGTAATAAAGAGTAAATAATAATGGTAATAATAATAATAATAATACTGGTAAACGCACAAAAAATTATCTACTGTGAGCCAAGCACTGTGTTAAGTTCTTTACATGAATCACCTCAACTGCCCTGAGAGTCAAGTATTATGATTTCCATTTTATAAATGAAAAATCTAAGACTGAGAGAAGTGACTTCCAAAAGGTCATACTCATAGATACAGAGAACAGACTAACAGCTGTCAGAGGGGAGGAGGGTTAGGGGGCTGGGTGAAAAAGGTGAAGGGATTAAGTAGTACAAATTGGTAGTTGCAGAATAGCTACAGAAGTTTGGATTGCATCATGGGAAATATAGTAAATAATGTCAAGATAACTGGGTATGAGGCCACGCGGGTGCCTAGAGCAGCGGAAGGACCCCTTTGTAGAGTGCATGGTTTTCCGGCCACTTTGCTGAACATCTGAACCTGCTGCAGAATGGTGCTGAATGTAAACTGTGGTTGAAAAAAAGAAATACACACAAAAGGTCACATAGTAGTAACTGGTGAAGCCAGGATTCAAATTCAGGTCTATCTGATAAAAGATTATGCTCTGTATCAATACAGTTAATGATTCTTCATAAAAATTGTATATAGTCCTGGTTTTTCAAAAGAAGAAAAACCAGAAATAGAGAATATAAATTAGACTCTCTAAAAGCCAAGAGCCTATTTTGTGTGTGAATACATATATGTTTGTATATGTGTTTGTTCTTAACTGATTGAGCCTTCATCATTACCATTATACAACATTTACTAAGAACCTACTGGGTTAACATGGAGAAAAATCAATTTTTATTTATTTATATTAAGTCTTGAAAGAAAAAGTGACTGCCAAATGCTACTTTCCAGTGGCTTTTTTTTTTTTTTTTTTTAATCCTCACCCGAGGACATTTTCCCATTTTTTTGTTCAGGTAGAGTGGGAGGGAGAGAGAGGAACAGAGAGAGAGAGAGAGAAACATCGATGTGAAAGGAACACATCGAGTGGCTGCCACCGCACGACCGACCAGGGCCGGGGACAAACTGCAGCCAAGGTACGCGCCCTTAGCGGGAACCGAACCCGGGTCTCTCAGGACCGCAGGTCGACACTCTAACCGCTGAGCCAAACCGGCCAGGGCTCCAGTGGCTTTTTAATGAAAATAGGAGTGGTGAAGTTGAAGAAGGCAAAAAAGATGCCTAGCTTAGAACATTCTTGGCATTGACTAAGTAGTCTTCAAATGAAAATCAAAATACATAACCACTGTGTACAAAAAATACTTTCAACCAGACACTGCATTTTCCAAGTTATGTTTTTTTTAATCCTCACCCAAGGATATTCTTCCATTGATTTTGTTTTTTTTTTTTTTTTTTAGATAGAGCGGGAAAGGAGAGAGAGAAAAAAAAAACATCGATGTGAGAGAGATACATTGATTGGGTGCCTCCTGTATGACCATGATCAGAGTGGGAGATTGAACCTGCAACCTAGGTGCATGCCCTTGACTGGAAATAGAACCTGAGACCCTTCAGTCTGTGGGCCAACGCTCTAACTGCTGAGCCAAACAAGCCAGGGCCAAGTTGGGATAGGTATGCTGGCAGAAAAGGGTCATAGATAAATTAGTTTGGTAAATGATGAACATCTTCTTAGAAATCCACAATGCCTGATAATACATTAAAGGTTCTAAAAAAGTCTTGAGGTAAAAACTTGTTAACATTCTTTTTTCATTTGTTTGTTTTCAATCCTTACTCGAGGATATTTTTACATTAATCTTCAGACAGAGCTAGAGGGAGAGAGAAACATCGATGTGAGAGAGACACATCGATTGGTTGCCGACCACACAACCCCAACCGGGGCCAGGGACAAACCACAACTGAGGTACATGCCCTTGGCCGGAATCGAACCCGGGATTCTTTGGTCTGCGGGCAACGCTCTGACTGCTGAGCCATACCGGCCAGGGCATTGTTAACATTCTTTAACCCACTTCCAGACTTATTTAGGCAAATAACTTTTTATTTTTTTGGTGCTTCCATGCTTCCATCCCTAAGTGCTCCCTAGACTCAACCATAGACATGTAAATTCATATTTAAGATTCTCATTTATTTTTTAAAATATATTTTTATGCCTGGCCAGTTGAGCATTTATTGCATGGCTCACTGGTTGAGCATTGACCCATGTACAAAGAGGTCACTGGTTTGGTTCCCAGTCAGGGCACATGCCCAGGTTGTGGGCCCAATTCCCACTGGGGAGCATGCAGGAGGTGGCCGATCAATATTCTCTCTCATTGATGTTTCTATCTTTCTCTCTCCTTTCCTCTTTCTAAAATCAATAAAGAAAACAATATATTTTTAAAAATATGTTTTTATTGATTTTTTTAGAGAGGGGAAGGGAGAAATAGAAACATCAATGTAAGAGAGAAATATGGATCAGCTGTCTCCTGCACACCCCCTACTGGGGACCGAGCACCCAACTGGGGCATGTGCCCTGATGGGGTATGGAACTAGGACTGCTCAGTCCATGGGACCACGCTCAATCCACGGAGCCACACAGGCTGGGCAGATTCTCATTTCTGCTGAGCCAAACTGGCCAGGGCAAGATTCTCATTTCTTATTGTTGTTGGATGGAGTGGAATATTTGGTTAACAAACTGCAATAGAGCTGGGTACATTACTTAATTTCTAGTTGCTTTTCTAAAGGAAGGATCCAATTTGGATTATCAAAGAAAGCCCAAGTTGAAAAGAAAACCCCTCACCCTGTCCAGTGTTACTCAGTGGTTAGAGCATCATTCTGTGTACTGAAGGGTCTTGGGTTTGATTCCTGGTAAGGGCACATACCCAGGTTTAGGGTCTAATTCCCATCGGGACCCATAGAGGAGGCAACTGATCGATGTTTCTCACATCAATGTTTTTCACATCAATCTCTCTCTCTCTCATCAATGAAAAAAAAAAATCCTCAGGTGAGAATTTTTTAAAAGTCCTCATATTTGCCTTTTGTTCTGGGAAAGGCTACAGGAATAAAAAAAAAAAAAAAAAAAAAAGATTAGTCCTCAGTGAGTGGCAGATGACCTAGTAAACCACACACGGTTGCTAACTTCTGTCGAGTCTAAACAGGAGACAAAGCGAGTCTAAAGGTTATTCAGCTCAAGAAAATACTGTTTGGTCCAGCCGGTGTGGCTCAGTGGTTGAGCATCGACCCATGCACCAAGAGGTCGCCTGTTCGATTCCTGGTCAGGACACATGCCTGGGTTGTGGGCCAGATCCCCAGTGGGGAGCATGCAGGAAGCAACCAATTAATGTTCTCTCTCAGCATTGTTTCTATCTCTCTCTCCCTCTCACTTCCTCTCCCTCTAAAATCAATAAAAAGGAAAAAAAAATTAAAAAACAAAAAAGAATATACTGTTTGTTCTGGTTACAGTCAGACCAAAGGATAACTAAGAGAAAAGACAGGTTTGCAGAAAGTTCAAAAGAATAAACTTTCCTCACTAATGTAATTTGTGATCTCATTTAGTTTAGGATTTTCCTGGAACAACATTTGACATATTCAAAACCTATGATCAACTCTGAAACATCTCTAGATAAGAATTTACTCCAGATAAAGGACCTGAGGCAAAACTAGGGCTCTGAAGCCAAAACACACACACTAAGATGGCTTTTGCTCTCCCATGAATCTGGGTCAGAACCCCCTCATCTTCTAGTGAAAGCATCATTTATATGCTGGCAAACACCGTAAGTCAGACCTGTTTGGTCAGTGATCTGTACAAACAGGCTGGAAAATGGCAAATGACTCAGGGCACAAGAAATCTGAATGTTTCTAAAATGTGCATAAACATTCTTCCTTCCTTGCTTCCTTCCTTCCTTTCTCTTATTAAAAGTCCCACTTCCGGTTAAATAAATACCTAGAGGAATTAGATTAGGAGGAAAAAAATAAATAAATAAATAAAAGTCCCACTTCCCTCTGAGGTTTGTCAGTCTGTTCCCTACTTCCGTGTCTCTGGATCTATGTTGCTTGTCAGCTTATTTTGTTCATTATATTCTACAAATAAGTGAGACCATGAGATCCTTGTCTTTATGTGACTGGTTTATTTCACTTAGCATAATATTCTCCAGGTCCCTCCATGTCAGGAAACATTCTTTCTTTTTAGACTATATGACCCTGGCCATGGCCAGGTAGCTCAGCTGATTAGTGTCATCCAAATGGGCCAAGGTTGTGAGTTTGATCCCCAATCAGAACACATACAAGAATCAACCAATGGCCCTGGCCAGTTTGGCTCAGCGGTTAAAGCGTCAGCCTGCAGACCAGAGAGTCCCAGGTTCGGTTCCCACTAAGGGCATGTACCTCAGTTGCAGTTTGTCCCCAGCCCCAGTTGGGGTCGTGTGGGTGGCGGCCACTCGATGTGTCTCTCTCACATAGATGTTTCTCTCTTCCTCTTTCTCTCCCTCCCACTCTATCTGAAGATAAATGCAAAAATGTCCTTGGGTGAGGATAAAATAAATAAATAAATACAAATGTTTAAAAAAAAAGAATCAATCAATGAATGCATAAATGAGTGGAACAACAAATCAATGTTTCTCTCTTGCTCGCTCTTCCTCTCTCTAAAATCAATAAATAAAAATTTAAAAAATAGACACTATGACCCTAATGTTCCCACACTCAAACATTTGTCTGAGGACTCAACTCAAACTATTATCTAAGTAAGTGCTTTAAAAACCAAACAACTAGGTTGTGTTGAAAGAGCTAAGCCACTTTTTTTTTTTATCCTCACCCTAGGACATTTTTTGATATTTTGTTCAGATAGAGTGGGAAGAAGAGGGAGAGAAACATCGACGTGAAAGGGACACATCAAGTGGTTGCCACCCACACGACCCAACAAGGGCCGGGGACAAACTGCAACCAAGGTATATGCTCCTAGTGGGAACCGAACCCGAGCCTCTCCAGACTGCAGGCCAATGCTCTAACCGCTGAGCCAAACCGGCCAGGGTGAGCTAAGGCATTTTTGACACAGTCTCAAAAACATGGGGTGGCCCTGGCTGGTTTGGCTCAGCAGTTAGAGCGTCAGCCCAAGGACCAAAGAGTCTCGAGTTCAATTCTGGTCAAGGAACCTTGGTTGCAGTTCAGTCCCTGACCCAGGTCAGGATCATGCAGGAGGCAACCAATGGATGTGTCTTTCTCACATTGGTGTTTCTCTCTGTTTCTCTTTCCCCTCCTCCACTCTGTCTGAAAATAAATGAAAAAATATCCTCAGGTGAGGATTAAAAAAAAAAAAAATGGAGCCCTGGCCAGTTTGGCTCAGCAGTTAGAGCGTCAGCCTGCGGTCCATAGAGACCCGGGTTCAGTTCCCGCTAAGGGCACGTACCTCGGTTGCAGTTTGTCCCCGGCCCTGGTTGGTCGTGCGGGTGGCAACCACTCAATGTGTCCCTTTCACATCGATGTCTCTCTCTCTCTCTCTCTCTCTCTCTCTTCCTCTCTCTCCCTCCCACTCTATCTGAACAAAAAAAAAAAACAAAATGGAGAGAAGAATGGTAGAGAATCCTTACTTACCCAATGAGACAACATTTCCATAATTCTCCTGCATAACATCCCTGTAAAGGTCCCTTTGTGTAGGGTCCAGAGGTCTCCATTCTTCCCGGGTAAGGTACATGGCCATATCTTCAAATGTCACAGGTGCCTGAAATCACACAATGCTTCCTCATTACTTGCTGTCTCCAAGGTTAGTACCAGTTTTTCTCCTTGAAATTACAGACATGGCTAAAATTGTTGAGGAGGCAAAAGGTATCGTTTGATTTGTATAGTCCAAAGAAGAAATAAACAAGCCAGAAAGAGATATAGTAAAGAAGAGAGCAATTCACATGCTAATTGCTCTGGTCGAATTGGCCAGATATCCCTGCCGCACAGAACTTTATCCTCTTCAGCGGTTCTCAACCTGAGCCCTCTGGGGGTCGAATGACCCTTTCACAGGGGTCGCCTAAGACATAACAGTAGCAAAATTACAGTTATGAAGTAACAACAAAAATGATTTTATGACTGGGGGTCACCACAACATGAGGAACTGTATTATAGGGTCACGACATTAGGAAGGTTGAGAACCACTGCTAGCTGTACTTTGCTCAGAACACATGGCTCCATAACTTTATGCACAGTGTCCCTCTTTTCCTGGAATATCTTTCTCAAACTAGAGAAATTCTATTATTCTTTTTTATTTCAGATGAGGAAAATCTTTAATGTACAAATATTTAAGTGACAAAGGGTTTTAAGAAATAAAAAGAACCCTGGCCGGTTTTGCTCAGCAGTTAGAGCGTAGGCCTGCTGTCCAGAGAGACCTGGGTTCAGTTCCTGCTAAGGGCATGTACCGTGGTTGCAGTTTGTCCCCGGCCCTGGTTGGGTCTTTCGGGAGGCAGCCACTCGATGTGTCCCTTTCACGTTGATGTTTCTCTCTCTCTCTTTCTCTCTCTCCCTCCCACTCTATCCGAACAAAAAATGGAAAAATGTCCTCCGGTGAGGATTAAAAAAAAAAAAAGAAAAGAAATAAAAAGAATGTATGAAGCACAGCAAATTATGAATGGAAGTGCTGGGCCCTCCTCTGGAAATCTTACTGTTCTTTCAAGCCCTGTTCCAGTACCAACTATTCTTCAGTAACAGTAACCCCCATCCCTCTGCTGGGCTCCACTCCTCCCTCCGACCCCTTGGGCAGAATTCATCACTCACAGTCCTTCGTTCCCACACCACAACACTCTGTTCCTACAGCAAATGGGCTCTTATCACGTTGTATCACAGTTAACCGGATGTATCTGTCTCCCTATAGATTGTGAGCAGGCGGGGAGGGTCCGTTTCATGCATCTTTTGTCTCCCCGATATTTAAAGGCATACAGCAGGTGTTCAATAAATGTTTGTTTGTGGCTAAACTCTGGTACTGGGTCCCTGAAGGCACAATACCGAAGCGAGCTAATTACTAATCCCAGGGAATTTCCCACAGGGATTTACAGTGCAAAGAAATGCCAGGACCAGGTGGATAAGCAGTGGCAGGGTCGGCGAAGCCACCCCCGGCTTACCTGGGACCCAGCCATGAGCAGGGTGGCTGCCATCTCGGGCTCAAGGATTCGCCTCCCAGGAGAGAGAGCAGGAAAAGCAGCTAGCAGACAGCACTAAAGGAGGCGAAAAGCAGGGCGTGAGGCACAGAAAACAGGCCCTGCCCACTCCCCAGGGCTGGAGTTCTGGCTGCCAGGCGGCTGGGGAGGGCCCTGGACCTGGGCAGGGTCACTCTCCTCCTTGACCCTCGAGCGCTACCAGCCCTCTGTGTCTCCGCCACCACGGGGTGGAGGCAATGCCAGAATTTAGTAGGACAACTCCCCGATTCGGTCCCTACTGGGCCGGGGGGTCAAGCCGCTGCAGTCTCTGGGAGGAGGCTCTCAGCCCAGCCCACAGAACGCCTCCGCTCTTCCATCTCGAGGCTGAGCCCTTTCCGGCAGCTTCTTCAGCCAATCAACGAGCGAAGCTTGAAAAACGCTCTGCCAATTAAAAGCCGAACATAATGCCCGCCTCCTGTAGCCTGGCGGGATGCCTCTATCACGCCTGCGCCTGCCCCTGTGGCCTGCCGGGAGTTTGAGTTCCATTCTGGCGTACAAAGGCCAGTCGGGGCCAAAAGCCAAGGTGGGAAAAGAACAAAAGAGTGAAGAAAGAAGCGCGTCCTCCTAGCTGGCGAAGAATATCTTCTGCTTTCTTCTATTGGAGACATCAGCTCGATTAAGCCAAGGAAGTTGCCCTGCTTCTCCGCACGTCCCTAGCAGCTTATCTTGAATCGGACCTTAAATGCGACGCCTGGCCTAATTTAGGCGCTGGCCTGTGTAGGGTTCCGCTGGGATTAGCACTCATTTGACAGCCGGGGCCTGAGAGGAAAGAGGCAGCCGCCCACTCCCCAGGGAAGACTCGGCAGCCGCGCTGGAACTTTGAGCTCCGCCTACGCACTACATCTCCCGGCAGTGCCTGCGGCGTTTGCACCCTGCTACGCGGACTACAACTCCCAAGAGGCCTGGCGCCGCCGGAGAGCTAGGGAGCGCGGTCGGTGTTTGGGACAGGCGGTGTCCAAGCTCCCTCGCTATTAACCCTCTAGGGGACTCTGACCGCGTCCTTCTAAAGAAGGCGCCCCTTGAGGGGCGTGCTGAGTTGCTCCTAGTAGAGGGGAAGCCAAACCCCTGAGAGAGGGTGGGGGATAGGGCGCGCAAGGAGGAGCGAGCCAGGCCCCAGCGCTGGGAAGAGCCAACCTTATCATCCTGAGGGGTGTCTGCCCAAAGGGTTCCTGGCGGCCTCTGGCACCGATGAGCCTCTGAGCCTGAGCCGGGCGGACCCTCAGGATGTTAGCAGTCTCTGATCAGCTGAAGATAGAAAGCCGAAAACCCGAGCTGAGAACGAACAGACTTACCTCCTGACCCGCAAAAGATCCACTAGATCGCCGGCTCCAGGATCCGAGAGGCCCCAAACAGATTCCAAATCCGCAGGCAGAGTTCTTTGAGACTTCAGGCGTTCGGAAAGATTCTAGAGATCACTACTGACAGATTCCGTATATCGCAGACCCGCAGGTAGATCTGGAATCCGTAGACTTGCAGGCAAAACCCAGAAATCGTAGGCGGATCCCAAAGACTCACAGATTCCCGAGACCTCAGACTCTCAGGCAGCTCAGAAACCACAGGCTCATAGGCATATCCCTGTGAGACCACAGCAGCTAGCCAAAAACACCACCAGCAGCTAAGCTGCATTCAACTGGATTTCTTCCGAACGGAAGGACTTGCAGCCTTCCTTTTCCCCAGCCAGGATGAGAAAATTAGACAATGGAAGCCTAGCACTGGGAAAAGCAGGCATTCTGCGTGGGGAAGAGCTCTGAGCTCGCTGTAGCCTTGGAGAGGGAAGTGATGGAAAAAGAATATAGCAGCTTATTAGGGACTCCCACCCTCTTCAAGTTATAAATATCCCCAGAACCTTGGCTACGTGCCCAGAAGCCTGTTGTCTCTAGCTGTACAGGAGACTTCTCTGCCTGAGCTGGGAAAGGGGCTTTTCTTTTGTTTTGCAGATACATCCACCCACTGAGTGACTTGAATTTTTTTTTCCTCGAACATGACTCCAGGCTATGCTTTTATTAGTGAGTGTCCTGTTCCCAGTGCCCAGTTATTTATGGTTAAATTACTCAAGTGTCTAAAAAGAACAAGGACTCTACCCAGCCATGAGGCAGGCTCTCCCACTCTTCACCCCCAACTGTGAGGCTATTAATTCTTTAGATACCACAGAAGTGTCCCATCTTACCCTATCTAAAATTGACATGGGATACCAATAAAATGGAATCACAGAGGATCCCCAAAAGACAGTCAAGGTCGGTCAGTCAGACCTGGGTTGAAATCCAGGCTGTGTATTCTTTGGAAAGTCTAGTCTCTCCTCTGTAAAACGGGGTAATCACACCTAAGGCAGTGGTGAGCTCTAAGTGGGGCGACTTAAAGTGAGCACTCAGATGATAGCTGTTATTAATCCTGCCCCGGGCAGCAAGGGAGACTTCCAAAAAGGCCTGTGGATATTTTCACTGGCTCAGAAAATCTGGGAAGTCAGAATGGCTCCATAGCTATGAGGATCTGCTGGTGACCTTACCCTAACATAACGTTTCTGCTGGAAATCCAGAGGGAACTGGAAGTTGTACCAGTTTGGTGGATTCAAGCAAATTGGTGAATTGAGCCCAGTAGAGCAGAGGTATTTGGAGCTGCCAGGAACCCAGCAAGTTAAGGCCTCGCCCTTAGAAAAACCTCTGGGGCTGGAGGAGGGATATCTGCTCATACTTTGGCTGAATAATTGCAGGTTTCTAACTGGGCCTAAGGTGAGCTGAGCTGAGCTGCCTAGCCCCTCGGCCCAGCAGGACTCCCTTTTCATCCCTTCTTTGACAGATTGCTTTGTAAACTTTCTTAGGCCTTTTCTTCCCCGTTGCTCCAGTGCTTTAAATCCTTCTTTGTCCTCTGCTGTTTCTTTTATTCCCAGGCCTGGCTGGGGGCAGGGCTACTCTCTAAACCCAGCTTGGCTGCTTGCCTCCTCCTGTGAGTAAGTGCTTTGCTCTTTCTTCACCTGGGACCCTCCAGAGGGTGGAAAGGAGAGGCTGAGAGAGATGGAAAGCATGACTCCTTTCAGTGCCCTTGGGGGCGGGGCAGTGAAGAGAGGGAGGAAAGAAAGGTAGCGAGGGGCTTCCTGTTGCAGCCTTTAGCTGGACTCTGAGGGTTGGGTCACTGGAGAGGGAGGTGGCTTCCTGCCTCATGGTTCAGGACTTTATTGTTTCTCAGGAATACTTATTGTATGTGGGTTTTCAGTAACCAATTTGGAAAACTATTTGTCCCATCATTCGGCAAACAGTGAGCACACTGGGTGCACAGACAGCAGCCTGTCTCTGGGGAAAGAGGCCAAGGGAACCATTTGCCCAGGATCTTCAGATGGAGTTATAGGTTATGTCAGATCCACTGATTAGTTTAATCAAAGACCCTCCTTGTATATCTCAAGCTTGTTTCTTATAAGTAGACCACAGTGCCCATGGAGCACTGTAAATTATTATGTTTTAATAACTTTATAATTATTTTGTGAGCTGCACAATTATGTTGTAGTTTTTTGTATTAGAAGCATTAAACATTAAAAAATATGCCTTAATATTTGTGATCTTGTTTTGTCATCTCTTCATTTTCCAATATACCAGTAATATCGAATAACTGAAGTGACCTGGGCTTTTCTTGACCATGCTAGGAACAGAGATGAAGCCTCAATGCAGCACAAGGAATTGGGGACATGGGAAACACACTGACTTGCAGTCTAGCTGCTATAGTATATGGATGATGAAATAGTTTGCACCAAGGAGAGGTGGACTCATAGCTGAGGGGTATGAGAGGAAGCTTCACAGAGGAGATGACATCCGAGCTGGCTTGCAAAGACTGTAGGAGTCTTGGAGGTGGAGAACAAGGGGAGGGACAGCATTCCCATCTTCAAGAACAGCATGTGCGAAGTCATGGAGGCGTGAAAGGACAGACCGTGTTCCAGAATGGTCAGGATTGGGTATGGCTAGAGGGAAGAGTGTGGGGGTGGAGTGGCAGGGAGAGGAAGCATAGCAGGGACAGTGTCCTGTCCCCTTGCCTGCCTTCCTATTTGTCTCTGCCTCTGGCTGTGGATCAGCAAAGCTGGTGATGAGGTGCAGATGGGGGGAAGCTGGGGGCTGGCCTGGGGTGAGAAGAGCAGATTGACCCTGCAGGGAGAGTGGGGAGGGGGGGAGTTGCCCTTCATGCATTTCAGCTGGTTTTCTCCTAAGAGAACATTTTCAAAAAATGTAAACCATTGCATTAAAAACTTATTTAGTTTGTTTAGCCTACTTACAGGCATCAAATAGGCACATACTCACCAAACATACTTACTGTGCCTACTCTGTACCAGACACTGTGCTGGAAGATAGGACACCACCCCCCCACAATGACTGCAGGGCTGCTGTGAAGATTAAATGTGAGAGGCCCTGGCCGGGTTGCTCAGTTGGTTAGACCACGTTTGATCTCTGGTCAGGGTACATACAAGAAGCAACCAATGAATGCAGAAATAAATGAAACAACAAATCACTGTTTCTCTCTCTCTCCCTTCCTCTCTCAAAATAATAATTTAAAAAAGAGATTAAATGTGAGAATGGCTGCAAAACACATGGGCACAAAGGAGGGCCTTGGTACACAGTGGCCGTCATTGTCATGGAGGAAGTAAAATGCATCAGTCTCTGTGAGGTGAAACCATATTTCAGAGTGGCTCAGAGCATGAATACGGGTCTGGGTGTAGGTTCAGATTCTGTCTCCTAGAAGCAAGTACTTTCTGAGTCTTGGTTTTCTCAGTCTGTAAAAAGTATATAATAATACAGTTCACAGACACAAAGTAGAATAGTGCTTGCCAGGGGCTGGGGGAGGGGGAAATGAAGATTGTTGTTTGATAGGTATAGAGGTTCAGTTTTACAAGATGAAAAGAGCTTTGGAAATTGGCTGGATAACAATGTGAATGTATTCAACACTACTGAACTGTATGTACCCTTAAAAATGGTTAAGATGGTAAATTTTATGTTATGTATATTTTACAATTAAGAAAGGGTATAATAATAGTAACCTAGTTCATAGGGTCCGAGGGTTGGTTGAACAATATAAAGTATTCCCCTCTACTCATAATAACAACAGCTAATGTTTACTAATCAGGTGCTTTGTGTCAGGAATGATTCTAATGAGCCCTCACAACAATTCTTTGAGTTAGGTCCTATTACACCATTTTACAGATTAAAAAAGAAGGCATGGAGAAGTTACAAAAGGTGTCCAAGATACTCACCTAGCAAATGTTTAGGAACTGATAGGTTATTAACAACAGACACTATTATACAAAGAAATCATCATCACCATGGTAGAATGCAGTATAATTATTAGAGTTTCACAGCACTGTAGGAGTTCTGAGCAAGCACCTTTTGTGGCCAGAAGACTTCACAGGAGATGTGCAGTACACCTGAGATGAGCCTGGAAGAATGGGTAAGATTTGGATAGAGTGGGGGAGGGAGAATCCGAAGAGGCAGTCACATTTGGGGAGGTACAGCAGGTTTTCAAAAACAGGGCATTATTTCCCTTAGGCTGGAGAAAATGGATAACTGGGTTGGAAGATAAGCCACCAAAGACAGGCAGAAGGCAGATGGAGGGGAGCTTTGAAAGCCACACCAAGGAGTTTGCATTTTCTTTGATAGCTGGTCGAAATTCACTGGAGGTAATTAGGGAAGCGGTGCTCAGAGCCACGCAGGGAAGGTAGGAAATGCTTTGAACTGGGAGACAAGCAGAAGGTCTTTGCATAAGTCCAAGAAAAAAGAAAACCTGAAAGACAATATTGATAGTGATGGCAATGGAGAGAAGGGTTGGACAAGGGAGAGGCTATACAATTGGTAACTGATAAAGTGAAGAGGGGAAAGGAGAAGGGTCCAAGATGGTCCTCAGTAATGAACTAGTAGTTGAGGAAGAGAAAAAAGGCAGGAGGGGAATTTAAGAAAGAGAAGATGTGAGTTCAATTTCAGGATAATTGTATTGAGAGGACCAGGGCGGGTAGTTGGGGGAGATATTCAAATAGGCACTTGGTGACTCGAGTCTAGAGCTCGAGAAACCTCAGAGCTAAAGTTAGAGATTTGGTCGTCTGGATGAGACTACTAAGAAAGACTTTTCATTCCATATAATATTTCAGGTTCCTGTAACCTTTCAAAACATCTTCTAAATGTGTCATAGGATCTTGAATGTACTTTCAGTTTCAAGGTCTTTTGGCCATAGCATTCCTGGTGAGACCTCTGCCCTCCATCCCAAGCATGTCGCCTCTGTTTCACCTCCCCTGACCTTGTCTTTTCCCTCCTGCTAGGCAGCCAGCTCCCCTCCCTTAGGAAGCCTTCCTGGGTGGCAGAAGTTCACGCTAACTCCCTTGCAGTTCACATCCTCCTCATCTTTGAGATCAGGCTACTGCAGGATGATCTAACAGGCTGCAGGCAGCTTCTTGTCATCTTTGATATGGTCGAGATGGGGTTAAATCGTGTGCTCCAGCAAACAGCGTGTGTGCGGTGACTGTGGGACAAGGACGAGCACAGCATGGCTAGTGTGGCTGGAGCACAGAGTGTGGGGGCGAGGCAGAGGCCAGCCCTGCGGGGCCTTGTAGACAAGCCAGGAGCGGGGCTGGGGGGTGGAGTGGGGGTGGGGGTGGGAATGGAAGGTTTTAAGTGAGAGTGGGAGAGTGGAGGGGCTGTAACATGACCAGATTTGCAATTTTGAAACATCTATTCTGGTCTGCGCAGTGGGTCCGGGTGGACACAGACCAGTTGGGAGGGTGTTGACACCTGCTGGTGATCACAGTCTGAGGCCTATTCGGGCTTTTCTGTGTCCTTTAGTGAATGTAGGTGTATGCTGTGTAGATGAGTGGACTGGAGCCGACCTGTCCTTTTGCTGTTTATTCGGACTCATCTCTCTTGTAAACAGTCAAGTCATTGAGGGTGGAGATTCAGTTCTGTATTTTTTCCTAGGCTGTAAATCCCTATGACACCAGGAGCACAATGGATATTTAGATAGTGACTACTGAAAATCACCCCAAGGTGCCATCTTTAAACAGCCCAAAAGTAACATTTATTGACATTATTAAATGGATAGTTGCTATTTTGTCCCACTTTTGTTTTCTAGACATTTAGATGGAGGATTGGATAATGTAGAGAAAAATCTGGACATCTCAACCCTTATTACTCAAGTGTGGACCAGCAGCATGGGCAGCACCTGGGAGCTTGTTGGAAAGGGCACATCTCAGGCCCCACCCAGACCATGGAATCAAAATTTGCACTTTAATAACCCCAGGGAATTCCCACCCATATATATATTTTTTTTCTTTATTGATTTTAGAGAGAAATAGAAACATTGATGAGTAAGAACATCGATTGGCCTTCTCCTGCATGCCCCCCACTGGGGATCGGGCCCACAACCTGGGCATGTGCCCTGACCGGGAATTGAACTGGCGGCCTTTTGGTGCATGGGTCAATGTTCAACCACTGAACCACACTGGCCAGGCAGATTCTCCCCCATATTAAAGTTTAAGGAGCTCCTGGGTATCTAAGCAACACCCATCCCCACTTCTGTGGGTAATAATTGTACCTCAGGCGTGTGGCACATCCCGTCTGGTGTGGAAGTCTGAGCCTGGGATTTCTTTCCAGGCTGGGAATTCCTGGAAGGTATATGCGTCAAGCATTGTGTTTGGTCCGGGATCTCTCATTGCATCGAGCACAATGACAGGAAACGGGAGACCTGGGTTTCGGTCCTGGTTCTGCCATTTATGGACTGTGTGTGTTGGATCTTCTGTGAGAGGATTTTCAAGCCTTCCAAAGGACCCGCTCCAAATCTGACTGTTGAAAAACTGAAGATGGCGGCAGATTTCTGTGCAGTTTGTTCACAGGCTTCATCCAGGAGGAGGCGCTTGGCTGGTACAAGGGGGTGGGTGATAACCAGTTCAGAGTGGATGATGCCCAAGGCGTATAAAGAACTTGGGCTGAAGTTACTCTGAACAGCTGCCCTAAGGGTGCTGCAAGGCGCATGGAGATCCAGCGGCCTCTGCACAATCACCCTGTGAGGTAGGCATAGAACTACTCCTGTTTTTACAGGTAAGGACACAGCTCAGAGAGGGTAAGTGACTCGCCCAGGCTCCCTAGAGTTCCCAGGCCCCGCATGTCAGCCCTTTTAGGAAACAGAGCCCAGGAGGCTCAGGCTGAGGCTGCCAGAAGGCCAGGGATAGTTAGAGACTAAGACCCAGGATGGGCCCACCAGACCTGCTCCCAAGGCTCTTCCAGAAGATTCCAGCTTTGCCTATAATTCCTATCAGCTTAAAAAGCAAGCCGGTGTCATCAGGGGAGAAGCATGACAAGGACCCTCCCTGAAGACTTCCTCTGAAGCTTGGGCCACAGATGGAGCCGTGGGGAAGGCACTGCCAGGCCTGGGCAGGCTCCGAGGCTCAGTCCCTGCCAAGGCCGTGCAACTGAGGGGCACCGCCGCACCCTTCGGCAGAAAGACTCAGTTTCAGATGATCTGTTCCCTGGATGATCCCCCAAAGCCAGTATGAACAGGGAATGATGGAGTTTGGGGAAAGATGCGGAGAAGGGAAGAAATCTCTCCACATGGCGTGGACGTCATATCTGCCTGCGCCAAATCGTGTGCCCAGTGTCCTGTGAGTGTGGTGGCTCTGCGGTGGGCTGGGGTAAGATTGGCATCAGTCTTTTATTTTTCAATTCAGAAAGGGCTGAGAGGTTTGGCTGTGAGGGAAGGGACTCAAAGCAAAGGTCTGCCAGCCCACTGTTCAAGATTGGACACGAGTGTCTGAGCTTCTCCAAGAGGTTTGTCAGCACAGACTCTTAGCATGGTACCCCAATTAGGCCCCTCTGTTAGCCAATCATTATTAGTCACTGATGATGAACTTGCAAAAGGATCCTCCCTCTGATCCCTAGTACCCCATTCAGAGTTCAGCATTTTTCTTCATTTTAATTTTTATTTTTTTTCTCCAGTTACGATGGCTTAGTGCTTTTTCCTTGTTCTTCCTCAGCTTGTTCACTGACATCCTGGCTGGCAGTTCTATCAGCAGAACTACAAAACCAAAAAGGCAACACAATTTTAGAGCTTTCCCTGTGTCACCCAAGGAGGCTAGGGGAGGGGACATGAAAAAGAAGGTAAGGTCTGGAGCCACACAGACCAGAGCAAATCACTCAGCTGTAAAAAGGGATCCTGATGCCGGCAATGCAAGAAGGATATCAGGTGATAAATGAATGGAAATTTGATGCCAGACGCGTGATGTGTTCTCGATTCATGGTCAAAATATATCACTGTGATCATCACTAATCACTCGGTTAGATGTTCAGCCTGCCACATGGCAATGGACACTACCTGAAAACGTGGTCAGAAGCCATGTAGCTGCCACCTGTAGTGGGCCCAGCCTCGCCAACTACGAGGAAGAAGGGAGGAGGAGCTGGGTTTGCAGCCGGCAGAATGTCCTCTCCCCAAGGTAACAATGACAAGAGCTATCATTTATTGGGCACTTATTCCAGGCGAGGCAGCATTAACATGTGTTAACTCATTTTGTCCTCACAATCACCCTGGGAGGCAGGCACTCCCATTTTCACAGGTAGGGAAGCAACCCAGAGAGGTTAAGTGATTTGCCTAAGCTCCCATAACACTAGTAGGTGACAAACTCAGACTAAGACAGATGGTGGTTTCTATGCACCAGAAACATAGGTGCTCAGGGCTTTTTTGTGTGGCTATGTAGGTTGTTCACTGTACAAGACAGCCTGGTGACAGGGGCAGGTTGAAGCTAAAACTCAGCCTCTGCTGTTTGCCAAACTCTGTACCCAGGTGCAAGGCTGGGTCGGTCTGAAGGCAGGGACCCCTTTTCCTAACTTGACAAAGATACCACATGAGCTATCAGAGGCCCCACTAATGCTTCTTGTGTATGACCTTCCCTAATCCCCAGAGCAGCTCTGTGGGCTGGATATTAATACCCCCATTTCATAGAGGAGGAAATCCAGGCGTAGAGAGTTCAGGTCACTTAGCAAAGTCACTTTGTAAGTAATAAAACAAGGATCTGAACCTGATGCCGAAGCCCATGCTCTACACCACTAGGCCACTGTACTGGTCTTCTTCTTAAGTGCGCAGTAGATGAATGAAGGGGAAACACACAATCATCTGACTTTTACATTTACAAAGACAGCAGATCTAAGGAGGCCTCAGGGCCATCGAGGTCCTCAGTAAAGTTGGAGGAACTCAGTGGATTGGGAAATTGGAGCATTGTCTTTCATGCTCCAAACTGTGTGACCTTATGCTTGTGAAGCATTTCGGTAGCTCGGTTTCCTCGTCCGAAAGTGAGAGTAGTAGTATAAAGGAATGTTTCTCATAGCTGTTTGCCAAGTGTGTGTGCAGATGTAATCACCTTCACGTCAGTCACTGGAGAAAAGCATTATCATCGCCCTTTGCCCAGGGAGGGACTAAGATGCTCAGGGTCACACAGCGAGTAGGGCAGAGTGGAGACCTGAAACCAGGGCTCCCGACACCCAGGCCCATGCTCAGCCTGGGGCTCCTTGCTAAGAACTTTAGAATGTCTGGAGTACCCACAGCCTGCCTGGTGGCCCAGACATCACACACTGCACATGCAAGTCAGGTGGTACTGGAAACTGACATTAATCACAGGACCACACTGAGTTCCTTCAGAAGACATGGCAGGAAGGAGCTTTCTGGAGGAGTCTTTGCTTGGCTCCCATATCTGAAAACAAAACCTCTGACTTTGCAGGAGCTGGGGCAGCCCAGGTTACAGCCTTAGGTAGTGTAAACTTTTTCAGAGCTGCCTTGGGAAGGGAGGATGACCTGGGAGCATGGGGGAGCTAGGCCCGCCCCTCTGACGGCTCAGCCTTCCTCGTCCCTGGCTGTGGCCGGGTTCAAAGGAAATAACATCTGGTAAAGTACTTGTAAAGAGGTGTGGTCCAAATGCAGAGTGCTGTTGTTTTTCCTCTGTGGATCTGGAGGACGGGGTGGGGAGCGACTGATTCCCTCTGTGCTAAAATGATTAACTTGCCCGTTCTCTGATAAAATGTGGGCTGCTTCCCCTTCTCCCAGCCAGGGGCCTTACCGAAGGAACACATGCACGTGCACTCTTTCCTTGCCTTGCCACCAGCAACCTGCCATGCTCTCCAGCTCTGCAGACCCACTCTGTACAGGCTGGTGAGCCCCTGAGCACGAGGCCCCTTCTTGGCTGTGAGTACCCTACTCCTTATGTGGGGCAGTGTCTGTGGGTGATGGGGTAGGGGGTGGAGAGGGAGAAAGATACAGACCTTCCAGCGATTGCCACACTCATTGCATAAGACAAAGGTAGTCATGGGCTCATCAGCGCTGCGTGTCTGCACCTGAGACAGAGAGAAGACCACTCATGAAGTCACTCCCCTGCTCTAGGACCTGCTATAGCTCCCACTGCCTGCAGGAGTAGGTCCAAATCCCAGAGCTCAGCACTGTTATTGCCATCCCACTGTGGCAATTCCTTTATCACTGAGAACTCTAAAATGTATTTCTTCTCCTCCTCTTGCAGGTCTGTCAGCTCACTTCCAGTATCTCACTGGCTCAACCTGACTTTGCACTTTTACTCTTGTTGATCCTTCTGAACTGTTTCTCCTCTCTTGCCTCTAGACTCATCTCGTACAGGAAGTATTCCCTGACTCACCTCTGAACATGCCCTTTTGGGTGAGCAGGAAGCACCCCTAGAGATCATTTAGTTCATTCCCTATTTTACAGGCAGAAGAAATGAGGCCCAGAGAGAAAATGAGGTTTGAGGATCATTGTGGTCGTCTCTCTGCCTCAGGTGCAGACACGCGGCCCTGATGAGCCCATTTAATGTTACGTTTTCTAGTTTCTCATCCCCTTACCTGATCCATTCCAGGGCAGGAACCGGGTTTCCCACAGCAAATCCATGGCATTTCCAGATTTAACAATTGCTATTCTGATTTTCTATAGATGGCCACGACATAGAGCACATTCACTTTGCTAACTCAGCTATGAACGATGTCCACTGGGAGTCTACGGGATGGGGGGTAGTCCCCAGCTAACGAGGGAGCCCAGCAGTTGACCAGGAGGACACAGCTTAGCACCGCCTCGTCACTGGAGAGCAATGACACCCGAAGGAAGGATAACACTGGGGTTCCTCTGTGCAGAGAAAACTTTGCTAGTGGGCAGTTTACTTCTGGCTGGGGAGCTGGGGGGGCAGGAGCAGGAAGCACACCCTCCACAGGGGAATGTGCTCGGAGGAGAGCAGGGACTTGCACAACATCTTGGAATTCCTGAATGGACAGTCTCTGAGGGACGGTTGCTGAATGGCAAGGCTGACTGTGTTCTGCTGTAGCCACAGATCCCCACAGGCAAGGTGCTCTGGATAAATCTTGCTTGCTGAGCCCATGGAGGAATAAACAGAGTTCCAGAATGACTAAGTACCAATTAGAATCCAAGAACATCGGTGCCCCAAGGGTATGATATGTGCCACCCGGAAACAGGAGATGGTTCTCTGGTTTCAAGTCTTCCAGAGAAGGGGCCTCCATAGCCTTACATGGCTCCCCACACAGGGGCAGCGGTCTTCACCCTTAGTCCTCGGGGCTGGATCCCTTAGGCTTTACACACCAAGTTGGCTGTGATGGAGGCAGAAAGGTCCAGATCTAGATTTATTACTATCTCTGCCACTGACCATCTTTGCCATCTTGGACAAAGCTGCAAAGCTTGTCCCCTGTCTGGGCCTCAGTTTCCCTGTGTGTAAAGTGAAAGAGCTGAGTTTTATATTGCCACGTTCCCTTCCAAACCCCTGTGACTCTACAGTGCTGTGCCCTGGGAGTCTAGCTCCTCTGAGTCTTGCTGCCGGCCCAGCCAGAACACACGGGCCCAGCCTCACAGACACAAATCTGGGTGATTGTACATGCAGAAGAGCATTTTCTAGGGTACATATTGGTGCACCAAAATTTGCCCTTTTCTCTGCAGCCTGGAGTTTTAACACTTTCCCCCTCTGGCTCTTCCCTGGGTTCTCTCTGGTTCTCCAGCTCTATGCCCTGTAGCTTCCTCTACCCTGGGCCCCTCTCCTTGTCACCCTACCTGGTTATAGGTACAATTCTTCTTCTTGCATTTCTTGCACTGGAAGAGGCCGGTGGTGGTGCCGCCCGTTTTGGCCATCTGGTGCTCCCGGATAGCCTCCTGGGTCATGGCGTTCCTCAACTCCCGCAGCTCATCGCTGGCCATTTCCTGCAGAGAAACATTTCTGTCCTTCAGGGCTGGAGAGTCCCAGGGGCCCGGCCCCACACCTCATTTCTAGAGAGCCAGAACAGAGGAGGGGGGACATGCTGGATGGAGTACCAGGAGCTGGAGGAGGCCTGGACTCCTGGCCCTGCCCCAGCTGGAAAAAGGTCATACCTGAAGAGTTTCCATTCTGCCTTTGGGAGGAAGGGCCAACCTGGGGGGCTCTGGCTGGGCCAAGTGCAGAAGGGCGTGTACAGGGGAGCAGAAGGCACACAGCTTCTGCCCCTCCGATCTGGTCTCACCCTGCCTTGCCAGGGCCTTAGGCACATGCCTGAACCTTCCTGCTTAAGCTGACTTGACCAGTGACCGCCTGATCTATGATGTTCTCCTCATCCTTCCAGTCTGGACGTGACCCAGGGCCAGTCCAAGCTGTGATCACTGCCCAGCCCAGTCTGCCCTGTGGGAACCTGGGTCTCACTATGACTTGCCGTTGCTGTCCCCACCCACGCAGGACCTGAAACACCTGGGTTCACACCACTGACGGCCTACCTGTAAGTGGGTCATAGACATCTTTAAGTTCCTACAGAACGGACTCTCCTGTCTTGTGTCAACTCACTGCAGACACTTAGTATCCGCATTATCTAGGTCCTTCCCTTCTTCAGCCACCTCCCTGGCCGTTTGACTCCCTGTAAGCTTCTGCCAGAGGAGAGCAGAGAGGGGGACACTCAAACCTGGGGGAACTCTAGTCAAGGTTGGTTTGGGGGAAGGAGGACAGCAGAGGCTAATGCTAAAATGAGTGAGGATTTGGGAGTGGCTAAACACTTCCATTGTTGCTTTCTATCCTGACACTTGAACCACGGAGAGCAGATTGGCACAAAGGTCAGATGATTTTAGTGACCACTTAATCTAATGCTGACCACTGCACTATAACTACTTGGGCTTCATGACAAAATGCAGATTCCCAGGAATCCAAACCGCGAAGGGAAGGCCCAGGAATACGCATTTTTACTAGTGCCCCCGTTATTCTGGTGCACACGAATGTTTAAATCCTACTGTGTTAAATTCAAGGAATAGGTCCTAACCAATGACGGGGTATATAGAAAAGCAAGTCAAGCCAACGTCATATAAGCAAAAAGCAGCTGACTTTTATTTGGGGGGGATTTCCCAGAGCATAATGCATTCGTTCATTTAAAATCTGTTGGATGCCCAGCTGGTGTGGCTCAGTGGTTGAGCTTCGACCCATGCACCTAGAGGTCGCTGGTTTCGTTCCAGGTTAGGGCACATGTCCAGGTAGTGGGCCCAATCCCCAGTGGGGGGCAGGCAGGAGGCGGCCAGTTGATGTGCTCTTTCATCGATGTTTCTATCTCTCTCTCTCTCTAAAATCAATAAAGAAAAAAAATCTACTGGATGGCCCTGGTTGGTTTGGCTCAGCGGTTAGAGCACTGGCCCACGGACCAAAGGGTTGTAGGTTCAATTTCCAGTCAGGGGCACTACCTGGGTTTCAGATTTGATCTCTGGCCCTGGTTTGGGTTATGCAGGAGACAATCAGTGGATGAGTCACTCACATTAATGAGAGTGACACATCCATCAATTGTCACCCCTCCCTCCTTCCCTTCCACTCTATCAAAAAAATCAATGGCGCCCAGCAGGAGTGGGTCAGTGGATTGAGCATTGTCCTATGGACTGAGAGGTCCCAGTTCGATTCCTGGTCAGGGCACATGCCCAGGTTGTGGGCCCGATTCCCAATAGGGGGCATGCAGGAGGCAGCCAATCAATGTTTCTCTCCCTCCCTTCCTCTCACTCTAAAAAATCAATATAAACATATATATATATATATATTTAAATTTTATTTTAATCCTCACCTGAGGATATTTTTCCATTGATTTTTTTTTCAGATAGAGTGAGAGGGAAGGAGAGAGAAAGGGAAACATCCATGTGAGAGAGACACACTGACTGGTGGCCTCCCGCATGACCCCAACAGGGACAGGGATCTAAATGCAACCAAATTACGTCCCCTTGACCAGAATTGAACCTGTGACTCTTTGGTCCGTGGGCTGATGCTCTAACTGCTGAGCCAAACAGGCCAGGGCAATATTTTTTTAAAAAATCAATGGAAAAATATCCTCAGGTGAGGATTAACAAACATAAATAAACAAAATCTATTAGATGCCAATTTATTGAATGTCTTTAACTGCACTGATGTGCTGGTAAACTGGCTGATTTGTAGTATTTATGTTTCCATGTGTAAATATTTCCATCACGGCCAATTTCTTTTTTTTCTTTATTGATTTTAGAGAGAGTGAGAGGAAGAGAGAGGGAGAGAGAAATAGAAACATTGAAGAGAGAACATCGATTGGCTGCCTCCTGCATGCCCCCCACTGAGGATCAGGCCCACAACCTGGGCATGTGCCCTGACCAGGAATCGAACTGGCAACCTCTTGGTACATGGGTCGACGCTCAGCCACTGAGCCACACCGGCCAGGCCATCACGGCCAATTTCAAGCTACTAATGCGATGTAACTGAAAGCAGAGTTGGGAATAGTTACACATAACCATCTCTCTTGAGTTGGTAGGAGCCGGTTTCAGTACACCACTGCCTCTGAGCCGCCCCCACCCTTCCTGTCCCCAGGTAACGTTAATTTGGTGCAGTAGCCAAGCATTTACACAAAACCTCAAGATAGCCTATGAGGTACAAAACAAAGGCACAGAAGTGCAAGGAGAGCCCCGCCCCCTCCAGTGTGGGGCTAACTGCCTGGGGGCAGGAGAAGCTTATGAAGGAAGCTGACACCTTCACCAGCCGTGAAAGATAAGCAGGACTTCCCAGGGGGGATGGCACATTCTAGACTTAGAGAATAGTCCATGCAAAAGATCAGAGGACAGAATCCGTGTTTGGGGAAGGGCGTTTGGAGTGGAGCTCGGAGTGAGGAGTGTGGGAGACATGGCTGGGGCTCAGATTGTGGAAAGATGGTCTTGCGTGCTACCTAAGAAACAAAACCAGAGGAAAAAATCTATCCACTCACCAACCATTTACCTGCCTCTGCTCTAACTCATGTAGGAGACAGCACCAAAGACACACGCAGTAAATGCGGTGATATAGAAAATAAGGTAGGAAAATGAAGGTAGGAGAGAACACTCCTCATGCTGTATACACGGTTAGAGAAGGGCCCCAAGTGTGAATTTGATAAAATTTGTTGCCAGGCACTGGGCTCAATGCTGGGTGAAGAGCGAGCAGACAAAATCCCTCTGCTGTGGGGCCGACAGTATGTCCACTGAACAGTCCTAATGGATATCTCAGAATCTAGGCCATTCTTTGATATGTCTGGGTAGAGAGGAAAAGAGAGAAGGAAAAGTGAGAGAATCGAATGGGCAAGGAAAGAGACAAAGGAGTTCGGGAGACAGGCACGTGGAGAGGATGTCCATCCACACAGCCATCCGCTGCCCCAGGCTGCCCCAGCACAGCGGCTCCCTGCCCTCTGAGCCCCAGCACAGGGCTCCCTGTCCTCTGAGCCCCAGCACAGGGCTCCCTGTCCTCTGAGCCCCAGCACAGGGCTCCCTGCCCTCTGAGCCCCAGCACAGCGGCTCCCTGCCCTCTGAGCCCCAGCACAGGGCTCCCTGCCCTCTGAGCCCCAGCACAGTGGCTCCCTGCCCTCTGAGCCCCAGCACAGGGCTCCCTGCCCTCTGAGCCCCAGCACAGGGCTCCCTGCCCTCTGAGCCCCAGCACAGGGCTCCCTGCCCTCTGAGCCCCAGCACAGGGCTCCCTGTCCTCTGAGCCCCAGCACAGCGGCTCCCTGCCCTCTGAGCCCCAGCACAGGGCTCCCTGCCCTCTGAGCCCCAGCACAGGGCTCCCTGCCCTCTGAGCCCCAGCACAGGGCTCCCTGCCCTCTGAGCCCCAGCACAGGGCTCCCTGTCCTCTGAGCCCCAGCACAGCGGCTCCCTGCCCTCTGAGCCCCAGCACAGCAAGCAGCCCAACACCAAGCTGCTTTTTCTTATTGGAGTGAAAATGCTCCTATACTTGTAGAAACTTCTTGCCCGGAGCAAAAGATGACCCCAGGAGGAAGATATCCTTGGCATCCATGTTGCCTGGGCTGCTGGCAGGGGTATCCTTAGCAGCTGGCCCTGGCAGTCCCTTGTCAAGGGCCTGCTAGCTTCCTGGCTTGCTCTCCTCTTTTTGGGCCTGGGTTGATCTCCTGATTCCTTTGTCCTGTTCTAGTGAACAGTTCTGGGGCGGGGCCTGACTTCAGCCATGTCTGGCTTGGCTAATTGCTTTGCTGGGACTTCTGGGGCCTGTCTCTGTCCCAATCCAGATGCTCAGCTCTGTTCTGACCTCTAGCTTCTGGGAACTCGTGGGGTTTGGCTCAAACTGGTGCCAAACCTTGTTCCTGGTTCCCTTGGGCCTGGTTTCTCAACATGGCTCTGGAATTGCCTGTAAGACAGCCTCTTGATAGCATCCCCACAGCACACACACACAAAGAAGCAGAGGGACGCCAGAGCCACAGAGTGAGGGGCACAGAAAACAAACACAAGGCTTCACTTTGCAGGGGAGGAGTATATGCTGTAAAGCCAGGCTGCAATTTGTAAGTGGGCATACACTGCTATTTACCTAAACAGATCAGATGTTTTTTAAAAAAAATGTTTGTATTGATTTATTATTATTTTTTTTAGAGAGGGGAAGGGAGAGAGAGAGAAACATCAGTGTGAAAAACGTGGATCAGCTGCCTCCCACACGCCCTCTACTGGGGATCGAGCCCACAACCCAGGCATGTGCCCTGACTGGGAATAGAACTAGGAGCTCTCAGTCCATGGGATGACACTCAATCCACTGAGCCACATAAGCCGGGCAAAGATCAGGTATCTTAAATTAAGCAGAAAGATAACCCTGTGCCAATTTCCTCATTTTTATCCGAAAGATAAGGCTATGATCTTTCTTATTCTGGGTATTCGAGGAAGTCAGTGAAAATGTACATACACACTGCATAACACTCACACACCACATTTACATACACCACACATACACTAACTGCACACACCACACATACACACAGACTGTATACACACACACCACACACACATAGAGGCCCACTCTTTTTTTTTTTTTTTAATCTGATATTTTTCCATTGATTATCAGATAGAGTGGAAGGGAGGAAGAGGGAGAGAGAAAGAGAGAGAAACATCAATGTGAGAGAGACACATCGATTGGTTGCCTCCCGAACAACCCCAACCAGGGTTAGGGATCGAACCGCAACCAAGGTACGTGCCCTTGACCAGAATTGAACCCGAGACTCTTTGGTCCTCGGGCTGACACTCTAAACCCTGAGCCAAACCGGCCAGGGCCAGAGGCCCACTCTTGCCAGCGGTTTTGGAGGACTCCCAGACACCCCGAGGCACACCCCAACTCTAGGATGTCAGGCCTTTCCCCTCCCCTTCTCTGGGCCACTTGCAGTTGCTAGTGCTTAGTGGCGCCATCTCCAGGTGCTTGTGGGGAATCCCTCTGCTAGCTCTGGCCGCTCATACCTGAGGGTGTGTGCAAGGTCTTTCTTTCCAAGATACAGCCTCTGAAATAAACAGTTCTGGGTTCACATCCTCATCTGTCACTTATGAGTTGTGTGTGGCCTCAGTTTCCTCATCCATAAAGTGGGGATAATATCTTCTCATTCATGGCACTGTGCTGACAGTTACATGAAATTGTTGGTATATATAGAATCATATACTAATTCTGGGGAGGGTTTTTCATGTATTGACCTTCTAAACTCATTCTATGCTGATGAGATTGCTATTGTTATTATTCCCATTTTACAGATGAGAAAACTGAGGCACAGAGAGGTTAAGTGGCTTGTCTAAGATCACAGTTACGTGGCAGAGACAGAATTCAAACTCAGCCAGTTTGGCACGGCTCCCAAGTGTGTAATTTCCTCCAACAGACCTTTTCCTGCCCTTTCTGAGCCTTTCAAGCTGGATCGATCCTTCCTTCCTCTAAGTTCCCATGATGGCTCTATCATGGCACTTACCACCTGTCTTACACATATTTGTAAGCGTGTGTGTCTCCCTACCCTGGACTGTGCTCGGTGGAGACAGGCTCCTGTTCCGGCTGGGCCCCGAGCTGGGTACTGGGCTACAGGACTGAACGAGGCAGGAGAGGGAGGCAGATAACAAAGCAGTAAAGAGTGGGTGCTCTGAGACCCGAGAGCTTGCCTCCTGGCGTGAATGTTTTCTAGCTGTGTGTATAGGCAAGTCAGTTAACTCCTCTGAGCCTCAGCCTCCACATCTATAAAATGGGGATAATAAACCTTTGTACCCTAGTTGGTGTGAGGACAGAACTGGTCAGTGTGTCTCAAGTGCTCAGCACAGTGCCTAATAGGTATTAGCCGTGTTCACGATCCTGACGGTCCAGAAGCCCTGACAGACGGAGTCAGAGACGGCCTGACGGTAAGAGCCCCTGGCTCGTCTCCACGGGGTCACAAGCCACTGCCCCTCAGAACTGGGCAAAGCCGGAGGGGCCTGGCCTCCCACCCCAGTGCGCAGAGCTCCAGGCCCCAGCCCTTACCTCTGCTGTCATCTTGGCAATGAGGCCGGTGGAGATGGCCCCACTGAGCACGTTCCGCCGCAGGCCAGGGTTCCTGGGGTCCTTGAGGTTGCTAATCCGGCTGCGCACACGATTCCGGTACTTCATGTCTGTGCTCTTGAGCTCCTGGTAGATATGTGGCATGGTCAAGGGCCAGCCAGCCACTTGCGGAGGGGCACAGGAGGAGAGGGAGCCTCTCCCTGAAGCCTGAAGAGACTCGGGGCCATCTGTTCCTCTCCTTGGACTTGCACAGAGGTCGGGCACTTCAGTGACATTTGAGGGAATTTCAGTTGGGCATTTGGGGTCAGTCACATATCGGAGACAGGAAACAGCCTCCATGGTGAGGTCAGATCATAGCAAGCACTGTGGTGTCTGGGACTCCAGAATGGGCACCCTAGTTTTGTCTGAGCCTCTTATACGACCTCAGGTGAGTCACCTGACCTCTTTGTGCCTCAGTTTCCTTATTGACAAAATACGGGGCTGCCCTGGCCAGTTTTGCTCAGTGGTTAGAGCGTCAGCCCACAGACCGAAGGGTCGAGGGTTTGATTCCCAGTCAAGGGCATGTACCTGGGTTTCAGGTTCCATCCCTGGCCCTGGTCAGGTTGTGCAGGAGGATGTGTCTCTCTCCCATCAATTTGTTCTCTCTCTCCCTCCCTCCCTCCCTTCTACTCTATCTAAAAATCAATGGAAAAATATCCTCAGGTGAGGATTAACAAAATAAATTAAAAAATAAAATACAGAGCTGTCGTGAGGATTCAGTAAGCTAAGCAGCATGATGCACAGCGTGGTGTCTGGGACATAGCAAGAACTCCACATTTAGGGGCTGCTAAGATGATAATGACGGCCCTGGCTAGTGTGGCTCAGTTGGTTGAGCACTGTCCCATGCACCGAGAGGTTGCTGGTCCAATTCCTGGTCAGGACACATACCCAGGTTGCAGGCTCGATGCCCAGTAGGAGGCGTGCAGGAGGCAGTCGATTGATGTTTCTCTCTCTCTCCCTCTCCCTTCCTCTCTCTCTCTCAAATCAATAAAAACATAAAAAAGATAATGATGAAGATCACTTCTAGTTACCTGGGGGTTGTGAATCCAGCTGGCAGAGAAAAACAAGATTAGGATCCACATTTTAAGGCTCCAAGAAGCTCTGCAATCAAGAAAGGGCTGAGTTTTGTTTCAGGTGCTCCCAATTCTCTAGCGATGCTCCCTTTTCTCTGGTAATGCCTATCACCATCCCCTGGAACCCACTTTGGGAATTGCTGGTGCTGGTTACATCTCTCATTAGTGGATGAGGAAGCTGAGGCTCAGGAAGGGCGCAGGCCTGCGCTCAAGGTTATGGGGCAAATTCCCGACAGAGACGGGGCTGGGAGCCAGAGCCCCTCCTCATGCTCTCTGCTCAGCCAGCAGGAAGTGGCCCCTGGCCACGGGTCACAGTGACTGCGGTGTCCAGATGCTGCATCCCAGACAGGCCTCCCACCCACTCCTCTGGAGGAGCTCAGGGAACACCGCCGCATTTTCTTGATTCCTAAGCCGAGGAGAAGCAGGAAGATGCCTTTGCTGGGAAGACCCACAGAGGAGAGACTGCAGGGAATGTGGACAAATGGCAACAGCTGACTTGCTAGAAGTGGTGGGAAGGAAGGTGGTATTTCTGTTTTGTTTTATTGTTTGTACAATAAAAATGTAAAAAGGAAGAATATGCCATAATACATCTGAAAGCCAAAACATTTGTTCACAGTCTACGTTTGGGGTTCCTGGAGCTGTGTGTCTCCTTATGTGGGGACAGGAGGGCCGGCCACGCTCCCAGCAGCTTCTCCCCGAATCTCTGTTTCCTGACATCACGGGGGAGGGTGAAGAGGAACAAGGACCCAGGTGTCACTGGCTTCTCAAAAGAGCACATGTGAGCCCCACAGTTTCCATGCTAGCCCAGGGCTGCTCTGAAGAGGACAGAGCTTTGTCGGAAGACAAACATTCCAGCCCTCAAACCTGACCTCCCGTCACCTAAGAACAAAGAGCTGAAGGGTTGGTGCAGCTCCGGTTTCCTCTCCTGCATGGAAGGGCACTCAGTAGAAGAACAGGATAAAGAGGGAAGGCTGGGAACGGAACGATGTACTGGGTCCTCCGCCTTTGTTTAGAACTGGGCTTGAGTCCTGGCCGGTTGGGCTCAGCGGTTAGAGCATCGGCCTGCGGACCAAAGAGTCACGGGTTTGATTCCGGCCAAGGGCACGTACCTGGGTTGCGGTTCGTCCACGTTCAGGTCGTGTGAGAGGCAGCCAATCGATGTGTCTCTCTCACATTAATGCCCCCTCCCCATCTGAAGATATTTGAAATAAATATCCTCAAGTGAGGATCAAAAAAAATGAAACAAAAACTGGACTTAAAAGAGGAAGGGATGCTTGGAGAGACAACTATTCCAGAAAAAAACAAAGGAAGTTCGTGCTGTGTCCTGAATTAGTTAGAAATTATGCATATGTACTTGGTGAGATGCTGGATGGCTCAAGACATGCTGGTTACTAATTACATGATGGTGGAGAGAAACTCCCAGAAGATGTGCTGGAGGATACGAGCGTGGGCCTCAGGCAAGAGATGGAAGCAGGTAAGTTCCTTGTCTGCAGATTGGCCCCTGCCCTTCCCCAACCCCAGCTTAGCCCCCTAGGTAAAGCCCAAGAGGTCAGTGTGACTCTCAGAGCTCGGTCTCCTGGGCATTCTGTCCCCCTCCCTCCACACCTGTTTGACATGAAAGCTTTGTCTCCAGCAAAAGAAATCCCAGCACTCACTCAGTGAGGCACGGTGCTGAGGGACTTTTTCCTCCAAGACAGAAATCTTTTGGTGCAATGGGCCTGTGTTACACAGGTGGCCACCTCCTCGGGCTACACGCGGCCCCTTCCAGAGAGTGAGAGAATGCGGCATATGGAAAGAACTCAGAACATGGAATCCAAAGGCCAAGGTTTTCAGTCCAGCTCTGACACCAATAGTTCCTGGGCCTCAGTTTCCTCATCTGTGAAATGGGAACAACAATCCCTGCCTCACAGAGACTGCTGTGAGAATTAACAGAGGAAGGAAGTGTCAGTTGTCCATCACAGTGCTTGGTATGTATTGGGGAGTGAAAAATTAGGAGCTCTTGCTCAGCCGGTGTGGCTCAGTGGTTGAGCGTTGACCTATATGCACCAGGAGGTTGCCGGTTCGATTCCCGGTCAGGGCACATGCCAGGGTTGTGGGCCCGATCCCTAGTGGGGGGCAGCCAGTTGATGCAGGAGGCAGCCAGTTGATGTTCTCTCTCATCGATGTTTCTGTCTCTCCCTATCCCTTCCACTCTCTCTAAAAATCAATAAAAAGAAAAAGTTAGGAGCTCTTATCTTTAGAGGTTGGAAGAGGGGGGAAGGCTGAGCATGAGAAATGCTGTCCTGTCTACTCAACTACCTGACGTCACCAACGAGACACGTTATGACAGTCAGCCTGGCACAGCAGTTGAGCCTCCGGGATCTGGAATCACACTTTCTGGGTTCCAATCCAAACTATGCCACTAGTATTTGCTGTGTGAGCTTTGGCAAGTGACTTCACCTCTCTGAGCCTCACTTACCTCACCTGTAAACAGGACTGATGAGGAAACTTACCTCGTGGATTGTTCTCAACACTGAATGAGGTACTGTTCATAAACAGACGAGCATGAGGCTGGCAGGTGCAAGCCTTAAAAAATGCTAGCTAGAATTAAAAGCTCTAGTTCAGGGGCAGAGCAGGGCTGTCCCTGGAGCCCTTTCCCTTCCTCACTGTCCTGGGTCCCCTGCACTTGGGAGACCTGCTGCTGGACAGTCCAGGCACCCACAGCCTTGGCAAAGCACAAGGATATGATCTTCAATTTCTGATGCCATTTTGTCACAGTTGACCCCGTAGTCCTTGTAATCATCTAAAAGAGATTGGGAAACACAGGCATCAGCCAGACAGGACCTTGGCAGTGAGGCCTGCTTGTGCTGGGAAATACAGCATCCTGTACCACTCCCACGGCACTGAGAAGGACCGCATCTCATCTGCCTTTGGGAAGCCCTTCCCTCCCCCATCCCTGGCCCAGGCCCTCTCACCATCTGCCTTCAAGGCCGCTGAGAGCATCTCCACACACTTGTCCCGGACAGAGTCCCCTGTGAGATAGCAGGATGCCAGGAGGCAGACGGAGGGGGCAAAGGTGGGGCTCGAGGGGCTGCTGGGTGTTTTGGGGGAGGTCTCTGCTTTTGATTTGCTGCTGTTTGATCTGAGGATGACAATCAGTAATCGACATTCTGACATTCAGCAAATTAAGCATTTATTGAGCAATGACCTCCTTTAATCTCATAACCACCCTACAATTGTTACTATTTTAGGTACTCGATATGGATCATCTCATTTAATCCTCATAACAACCCCGAGAGGTTGATACTATTCTTATCTCCATCTTAGAGTTTCATGTTAGTGATAGATGCATTTAAAGACGCATTTTAAATAATGTTGCTCAGGTCACACAACTGGGAACCAGTAGAACCAGAATTAAAGCCCAGGCAGTTGAACTCGGTACCAGGCTCTTCGCCCACCGCTGTGCTCTGCTGGCTACAGAGCAGCGTGACCACGCCAGAAACTCTGTCCAGCACTGTGTGACCTCTCTCTCTCTCTGCTCTCATCGAACCATTATTCACTCATTCAATAAATATTTATTAGGCACCTATTCTCAGGCACTGTGCTGAGAACAAGAGATAAAGCAGACAAAGCAGAAAAGCTCCCTCCCTCAAGGAGCTTACAGACTAGTGAATAGCAAATGCACCACCATTTAACAGGGATGGCTTTTACCATGTGCCAGGAACTGTGCCAGGCACAGTAGGAGCACTTTCTAATTTCATCCTCACAGCAGTCCTAGGAGGTAAACACTGTTAGCATCCCATTACAGATGAGGAAACAAACCTAGACAGCTACACCACTGAGACATGAACTCAGGCCTGTCTGATTCCAACTCTAACACTCTTTTATTTTTTTTAAATGATATGTTTTGCCCAGTCAGTGTGGCTCAGTAGTTGAGTGTCGACCCATGCACCAAGAGGTTGCCGGTTCGATTCCCGGTCAGAGCACATGCCCAGGTTGTGGGCCAAATTCCCAGTGGGAGGCATCCAAGAGGTGGCCGATTGATGTTCTCGCTCATCAATGTTTCTCTCTCTCTCTCTCTCTCTCCCTTCCTCTCTTTCTAAAATCAAAAAAATAAAATGTTTTTGTTGACTTTGGAGAGAGAGGGGAAGGGAGAGAGAGAGAGGGAGAAACATCAATTGACTGCCTCCTGCATGCCCCCTACTAGGGATTGAGCCCATATATACCTTGACCAGGAATCAACCAGCAGTCTCTCGGTGCATGGGACAACACTCAACCAACTGAGTCACACTGGTCAGAGCCCAACACTAACACTCTTAACTCCTGATACACTGCCTAAGAATGACCCCATTGTGGTTTTGGCTTAAAACACACAAATAAATAAATAAATAAATAAATAAATAAATAAATAAATAAATAAATACACACACACACACACAATTGTAAAGATAACTGTGTCTTAGTCTGCCTGAGTTGCCATAATAAAATACTGGACTGGGCCCGGCCAGTGTGGCTCAGTGGTTGAGCATCAACCCATGTACCAAGAAGTGGCCGGTTTGATTCCCAGTCAGGGCACTTCCCAAACTGTAGGCCAAATCCTCAGTGGGGGGCATGCAGGAGGCAGCCAATCGATGTTCTCGCTCATTGATGTTTCTATCTCTCTCTCCCTCTCCCTTCCTCTCTCTCTAAAATCAATAAAGAAAATAAAAATAAAAAAAGAAAGAAATGTCAAACAGGTCACACTATGATGAAATTCAGCGAGAGGTGGGGAGTAGGGTTGGCCCCCAGAGGAGCGGAAGGGAAATGCATGCTTGGCAGAAATGCCCGGAAGGGTGAAAGTTCAGGTTGCAAGGGCGTGTGGAGCAGCTCAGGGCAGCTGGAGCATGAAGGTGAGGGAACTGGAGAGAAAGGATCTGGCCAAACTCTTGGGCTTGTTAAGGATGGTAACAACAAAGTCATCATTTACTGCCTTTCGCTACTTATTCCTCTCTGCAAGCCTGAGAGTGACAAGTTACTGGCCCCCTTTTACAGATGAGAGGGTGCAGTGATAGTTGTGCAACTCCTCCCTTTCAGATTGGTTTCTGCACTACTCCTGGGAGGGGCAGGCAGTCAACATGTCTTCGCCTTCACCTCTGACTCTTCCCAGTCTTCTCTTTCAATAACCCACCAGGATCAGCTAGCCAGCCCTCATTTCTCCTAGGAAAAACCTCATCAGAGTTGAAGACATTTAGGGACCCCTCCTCCCTCCACTCCAGGGTCTACCACACTGAACCCTTGTGGGTGGTCCTAAGGAGCTGCTCTCTTTCCTACCTTCAGGGGGTGCCATTCACATGGTTGCCTGTGTACCTCTTGGGTACAGTGCACAGCTGGGGCAGCAGCACAGCTGGAGCTATGGATGCACGTCTTCCCTTCAGAAAGATGATGCTGAGCTTCTAAAATTGTTCTTTTTTTTTTTTTTATCCTCACCCGAGGACATTTTCCCACTTTTTGTTCAGGTAGAGTGGGAGGGAGAGAGAGGAACAGAGAGAGAGAGAGAAACATCGACGCAAAAGGAACACATCGAGTGGCTGCCACCCACACAACCGACCAGGGCTGGGGACAAACTGCAACCGAGGTACGCGCCCTTAGCGGGAATCGAACCCGGGTCTCTCAGGACCGCAGGCCGACGCTCTAACCGCTGAGCCAAACCGGCCAGGGCTGTTTTTTTTTTTTTTTAATGTTTTTTTTTTTTTTCTTTTTTATTGATTTTTTTAGAAAGAGAAGAAGGGGGAGAGATAGAAACATCGATGAGAGAGAAACATGGATCGACTGCCTACTGCACACCCCCTACTGGGGATCAAGCCTGCAACTTGGGCATGACCCTGACTGGGAATCGAACCAGCAACCTCTCGGTGCGTGGGATGATGCTTGGTCCACTGAGCCACACCGGCTGGGTAATGCTGGGCTTCTGAAAAGTCAGGCCCAAGGAGTTGTGTTTGACTGAGTAGTCCAGCCTTCCCTGTCTTAAACATCAGGGGTTATGAGAGAATCCCATCCAACATCCTGCTGAGCACTCTTCCATGTGAGTTCTGCTGGTGACCTTTTCACACCCCAACCCTTGCTGCTTGGCCTGACCTTGGGTCCCCTCGGTCACCACAGATGCCCTTGGACCACTGGGGTTGATGTGTGCTCTGGAACCATGAGGTTCCGCCAAGGTGTCTCAGTGCTGCCTCGAGAGCGGAGTGGGCTGGGGAAGGAAGGCTCTGGTTTTATAAGGTTTATATTTTGAGTTTCCAAAAATTTTATCCAAAGGGATTTCTAGCTTTTACATATTTTTTAAATGCCATTTGAACCTTACTGTTCTAAGACTAACTTATCCTGGACTCTACCCAAACCCGCCTGACAACTGGGCGGCCTGGCAGCAGGACACACGCTGGGGGAGCTGTGATCCAGCTCTCTCCGGGGTCAGATTTCGGCAGGAGGGAAAGGCGCGGGTGAGGGAAGGCTCGGAAGGGTATCACTTGGAGAGTCTAGGGGCTGCCTGCTACCAAATGAATCTCCCTGCACCCAGTTCTGGTCCCAACCACTGGGCTCTCCCTGCACAGCCACAAGAACCCAGAAGTTAGTCTCCCTTTATCCTCTTGCCCTCCTTACAATCTATTTGCTTGGCAGGGGTGAGAGGGCTTTAAAAAACTCACACTTGACCCCATTACTCGCCTGCTTCTGACATTCTCATGGCTTCCAATTATTTTCAGCATAAAGTCAAACTCCTCCCCATGGCTTCCCATCCCCTCCCCGTCTTGCCCCGCGTACCCTCTGACATGATCTCTTGCTGAACTCCCCTTACCATTCACTGAAGCCTCTACTGCCCTCCTGCTTTCTGTTCCCTAAACACACCTGTCCTCCCACCACAGTGCCTTTGCACAGTTGGCCCCTCCTCCGAGAAGACTCGTCCTCCTCCAGATTTTCCTATGACTGGTTCTTTCCCACCAGTCAGGCCTCTGCTTGAATATCACATTCTCAGGGAGGCTGTCCCTCACCACCCCAGCCAAGCAGACTGTCCCTGCCCTGTAACTCTCTAGCACATGACCTAATTTCTTGCATTCATAACACTTATCCAGGTCTATAATTAACTTGTTTATGTGTTTACAAACATTGTCTGCCTCCATCTCCAGATTACAGGTTCCACAGCATAGGGACCCCATTGGCTGGTTCACCACATGCTCCCAGCACCTCTAACAGTGCTCTCGGAAGGTACTTGATGAACCTTTGTTGATGAATGAATACAGAATGAGTTGAGGAAGCTGGCCACAGAGAGAAGAAAGGGGTCTAACAGAGATGAGCTGGGTGGGGGACAAGTCCTCTTTGGAAAGCCAGTGACAAGAGAAGGATCTAAGCCAGTGTCTGTTAACTCCAAGGACCGGGGCCAACCCATCTCCTAGAACTGATGGCGCTCCAGATTCTTCTTGGTGCTGACCCTCGCTGACCTGTGTGCCCCATCACCACATCCTCAACGTCTAGGACCCAGCAATGGGGAACTACCAGGGGGACCCCGAGGGTGCTGCTTGGAAGAAGGCACAACAGCAAACAGCAATAATAACATTGTCATGTAGGGAATGCCTATACGGAGGTAGTATACTTATTAAGAACCCAGGCTCCAAAGCCAAACTCCCAGGTTCAAGGCCTGACATCACCATTTTGGAGCTATATGACCTTGGGTGAGTATCTTCTCCTCTAGGTGCCTCAGTTTTCTCACATGTGAAATGGGATAACAATAGTATCTCTCTTATAGAGTTGTTAAGAGGATTAAAGCACCTAAGAGAATTCTAGTAACAAAGCGTTAGGCAATTTACATAGCCTATTTACATGGGCTATTAATACATAGTGTGAGTATTATAAGTAAGCATTATGTACTTATTAAGAGCTTACATGGGTTGGGAGTAGTGCTAAGCATTTCATTACTTCATTTGATCCTCATAATAACCTTGAATGACAGTTACAATTATCCCCATTTTACAAGTCAATAGACTGAGGCTCAGAGAGCTGAACTGACTTGTCTTAGGTCATCCAACTAGCAAATGGCAGAATCACACTACAAATCTAGGTCTGCCTGCCTTCCAAATTCTTTTCAGTCCCCCTCACTGTGTCTCTAAAAGGCAGTTTTCCAGAATCCCCTTACCTGGGTGAGGCTAGGCTGTTTGTTGCATTTTTCCCCACCTTCCTGGCAGAGCACTCCTAGTCCTGGTGCCTCCTCTTGGCTAGGAGCCGGCTGGTTGGCTGGAATTCGTTTCTAGGTGGCATTTCAGGCAGCCACGCTCATGTTCCTTTCAATGCACAGAACTGGGCACTGAGTCAAATTGCAGAGAGGGTGGAGGTGGGGATTGGATTGATCACAGCTTCCTTCTGCTTCCCGGATGTGTCAGCGTCAGCACATGGTCTGATGCCATTAAGCACTTAGAAAACTCTCCCGCCCCAGGTCAGAGCAGTGGTACCAGGAGGCCTGGCTCGCTGCTCTCGCGTGCCACCTTGAGGGCATTTCAATTACTGCACCGCCAAGCATCTAGACCGTCTAAGGTGAAAACAAGTCAACCAATTCCCACAGCTGGGCCCCAGGGCGGCTGAAAAAGAGCAATCTTCTTCTCTGGCACAGTGGTGTCCTTTGTGGTCTGTTTCCTGGTACGTACTCCACCTACAGTTCCCACAGCACCATGATCACTCAAACTGCCACACCTTTGCATGTGCCATTCCCTCTGCCTGGGATGCCCTCTCTTGGCTAGTGTACCAGGCAAACTCTTATTCATTCATCTGTCAATTTTCAGCACAACTACTCTCTCTTCCATGAAGTCTCTTTTGACTTCTCAAATCATAATGGAACACTTTTCTGATGTTCCCATTGTGTGTTATATCTTCAAAAAACAAGTATTTTGGTGTCTGCCTGTAAACTAGTAATTAGCTGTACGAAGGCAGAGTTCATGAGTTTGTTTATTTATTTATTTACTTACTTACTTACTTATTTATTTTTTGGTAAGTGCCCCTAGGGGGAACTGAACCCAGGACTCTCTAGTCCATAGGCCGATGCTCCAACCACTGAGCCAAACCGGCCAGGGTGAGTTCATGAGTTTTTGTTTTTTGTTTTTTTTTATCCTCACCCGAGGACATTTTTCCATTTTTTGTTCAGATAGAGTGGGAGGGAGAGAGAGAGAGAGAAACATTGACGTGAAAGGAACACATCGAGTGGCTGCCACCCACACGACCGACCAGGGCCGGGGACAAACTGCAACCGAGGTACGTGCCCTTAGCGGGAACCGAACCCAGGTCTCTCGGGACCGCAGGCCGACGCTCTAACCGCTGAGCCAAACCGGCCAGGGCGAGTTCATGAGTTTAAATCTTTACCTGGCCTTAGAGGTTGCAAACTGGAGGGCTTCAAATACGTTTTGTTTGCCCTACTATGTCGTAGGAAAAGGTGCATGTGCTGCCAATGTTTAAAACTGGGAGTCTCATATGAAAATCTAGATGTCCAGTTTCCCTTAAAACCTGGAAGACATGGCACACTGGGCCTGCATTCCCATAAAGCAACAACCAGCTGGAGCTAGCTAGTGGGTGCCCCTTACAGACGGGTAGGTACTCTCCATTTTGCCATAGTCCCCACGAATCACCCAGGGTGTGCACATGCCCCTGACCCCTGGAGGATGTTTGCAAGGTGGTGCTCAACAAATGTGTACATCAGATGTCTGGATGGATGGATGGCTGGGTGGATGGATGGATGAGAAAGATGAACCAGAGAGTTAGAGAGTGCAAGAATCAGTCTGTCGTGGATAAAGTGAATGTACAAGACTTGCTCTGTCCCTTTAGGTTGCCCACCCCCAATACTGAACCAACAGAAAATGGAACCAACAGAAAAAGGGCATTTCTGTTTGCATGGGAGGACAAACATATACCGTTTGGCTGACCTTCAGAAAAAAGTGCATTATGGGATGGAGCTAGGAGATTTCAAGACCACAGGCAAAGTCAGGAGAAGAGTATGATGGTGTAAATCCTTCCACAAATGCTGATGTTTATATTCTAGCATCAAACCCAGAACTGGCGGCAAGTGTTTCATTTTGGGACAGGACAATCCTTCCCTGTGCAGGGTCGCCCTTCACGGTCCAGGATATTTAGCCTCTCTGACCCCTGCCTACTAAGTGCCGGAGTGCTCCTTCCCCACACCCATTACAGACAGAATATTTGTGTCCCCCCAAATCCATATGTTGAAGTCAGTATTTGGAGGTGAGGCCTTTGAGAGATAATTGAGTTTAGATGAGGATAAGGCCCCACGATGGGATGATAGTCCTTATAAGAAGAGGACGAGAGACCAGAGCGCACCCCCCAATCGTGTGCAGACAGAGCAGAAAGCCAGAAGGGGGCCATCTGCGAGCCAGCGAGGGGGCCTTCACCAGGAACGAAATCGACTGGCACCTTGATCTTGGACTTCCCTGCCTCTGGAACGGTGAGGAATAAATGTCTGTATTGTGCTATAGCAGCCTCAGCTGGCTAAGATACCCCCTAAGTCATGGTGACAACCAAAAACGCTTCCGCAAGTTTCTAAATGACCAGAGTGACATGGAGGTCTCCTAGGCCTCCCTCAGGGCAGGCATCGCCAACGGACCACAGAGCTCTTCTTCCCAGGCCGGTGCAGCCCTCTGGGAGCCCTCGCACCAGCTGGGGCCGGCAGTCAGCTGCCATGTCGGAACCGGGCCACGCAGCAGCCCCATCCACATCTCAGGCCTGTGTAACCCTCATAAAGCCGTCCGCAACCTAATTACTGGGCCTCTTCCTTTCTTCAGTGGCAGTCTTACTGGCACTTTAGGCCTAAAATAACTGTGCGTCTCCCGCTCATACTCCCCTAGAAGCCAATCTGACTGTCCCACCTGGTTGTCCCAGCATCCAGTATGGCCTCTGGACCCTCCTCATTTGTCTCGATCCATCTCTAAGCCACTTCCTGGCCCGACCCTCTCCTTTGGCCCTGTTTCTCCTGCTCTGACCTCTGACCTTGCTACTGGACTGCAATTCACACTCACTCCTTTCCCCACAATGTCTCCATCGTGATCTCATCCAGCTTCAAATGCTGGCCACACGCCAAGGACTCTGCAATGTATATTTCCGGCCCAGACTTGCTTCCTGAATTCCAGCCTCATTCACCTTCTCCACCTGGATGACTGGTATACCCCTAGAACCCAACATATCCAAACCTGAACTCTGGATCTCGCCTGCTGCCTGATTTACTCTGACCTCCCCCTACCCATTAATGGCGACTCCATGCTTGCAGACAGAGCTCAGGTGAAAAGTCTTGGAGTTATCCTGACTCTTCTTTTTCTCTTGTGCCCCACATCCAATCCGTCAGGAAATCCAGTCAGCTCTGCCTTCAAAATGTATCCGAAGTGGAGTCCCCGGCTCCTTCCCACCTGCTGCCACCCTGAGCCACCGTCATATCCTGCCTGAACTGTCGAGGTGGTCTCCTGGTCTGTGCGTCTGCCCTGGCAACCCACTCTCGGCACAGCGCCTGCGGCCCCTGATGAGTTTGCTCATATAATTGACATGCTTAATACTCTCCAGTGGCTCCTGTTTCGCTCCGTCCTGCAACTCTCCCCCCTCATTTATTTGCTTCAGCCCCACTGGTCACCTCACAGCTCCTTAGGTTGGGAATGACCCCGACATCTGCATGGCTAATTCCCTCATCTGTTTAAGCTTTTGCTCAAAGGTCATGTCCTCAGTGAGGGCTCTTCTGACCACCCCAATGACCACTGTTCCCCGATCCCCCTCACCTTGCTCTATTGTTTTCTATAGCACACGTCACCTTCTAAACCAGTGGTTCTCAACCTTCCTAATGCCGCGTCCCTTTCATACAGTTCCTCTTGTATGTGCGCATATCTGCATGTGGGCGGACCCACCTGGAGAAGGATAGAGGAGCCTGTCTTGGTTCCTATGACCATCGGAAATATGTGTTTTCCAATGATCTCAGGCAACCCCCGTAAAAGGGTCGTTTGACCCCCAAAGGGGTCACGGCCCACAGATTGAGAACCTCTGTTCTAAACCGTTGTATAATTTAGTTATTATGTATATTGCTCTCTAGCCCTATTAGAATACAGGCCTCATGGCTGCAGTAATTTTTCTTTCCTTTGTTCACTGCTGTATCCTTGGCACCTAGAACAGTTCCTGGCACATAGTAGGCCCTCAATAAATATTTGATGAGTGAATGACTTGATGATATATGCTACTCTGGGGTAGATATCCTAACCAGTTGAGCCCCAGCCAGAGTTCTCACTCCAGGTATAGGCTCTCAAGGCCTCTGTCCTCACTGTGTTCAGCTTGACCTTGAGAATGTTCCCCAGACAGTGATGGGGCAACAGTGACTGGTCAGCCACCCCAGTGAAGGAGCCACACCTCTGATTCAGGGCCCCTCTTAGTCTTTAAAATATTTTTTTGCTTATTAAAAATTTTTTTTCAATTATAGTTTGCATTCAATATTATTTTGTATTAGTTTCAGGTGTACAGCATAGTGGTTAGACAATCATGTACTTTACAAAGTGTTACCCCTGATATCAACTAGCACCGTACATAGTTATTATAATATCATTGACTATATTTCCCATGCTGTATTTTACATCCCCATGGCTATTTTACAACTACCGATCTGTATTCTCAATCCCTTCACCTTTTTCAACCAGTCCCCCAATCTCCCTCCCTTTCCCCTTAGTCTTACTGTGTGGATCTTAGATTTTGGAGACAACGTAACATACGAGGTTTCCTCCTTCCCCAGCCTCAAGCTTCCTACATTAAAGCAGAGAGAGGGACACGTGCTGAACAGGACCTCTGGGGTGGAGAAGTCCATGGCTTCCCTTACCTTTCCATCGACGGTCTTTTAGGGGAGGAGGTGGCCGAAGACTTGGAATCCACAGAGTCTCTCCTGAAAGAAGAGAAATCGGAGATGAGACTCTCCTAGGCTCTAGCATCAGTACTGATCTAGCAAGATCAGAGGCTGGGGAGAGAGCATCGTGGAGCCTGGCCTGCTGGCTGAGGACGACAGAGCCCACCTGGACCACCACTACCTGGGAAAGGAAGCTCCAGGTGGTGCTGGCTGGTGACCCTCACCTACCCTCCATCAAATGAAGCCAGATATGTTACATGTGTTATACCATGTGTTACTAATTATGAACGACTATTTCAGCAGGCCCTCTCCTCCTTGCTGTCAGGCAGGCCTTGGCTAGTCCATGGAGATGAATTCCTGGGATGGCTTATTCTCACCGGGAGTTGGAGATCACCTCCAGCCTTCCCAACAGGCACCTGAGGAGGAGGCCTTGGAGATAGAAGAGTTGCATTAAAATGACAAGTGAAAAAGCAGGATACAGAAGTAGATGGATATTGTGCCTAAAGTCTTGCAAGATAATGCCTAGGAGGAAAACAGATCGAAAGACAACACACCCAAATGCTAACCGTGGTAATATTAGAATGATGGGATTAGAAGTAAAATTTCCCCCCATTTTCCAAAATGCATGTAGCTGCGTTCTTTTTGTTTTAACCTTTCTTTTTTTTTGGTACGTGCCCCTAGCGGGAACTGAACCTGGGACTCTCTGGTCCACAGGCCGACGCTCCAACCGCTGAGCCAAACCGGCCAGGGCGCTGCATTCTTTTTGATATAGAATGTATTTCCCCCTTTTATTGGTTTTATAAAATTAATCTGTTTGTAAGTTGCAGCCTCCAGTCCCCATCTCACTTACCTAGCTCTGCTCTCCATCCCAGCTCAGGCGTCACTTCTAACATAATGTTCTTACTTATTGTACGTGTGTCCAACACCCGCCATGTCAACGCAGAAGAGCAGAGTTCGGTGGACGGTGTCCTTGCTGAGCCCGTGCCCTCGGGCACTGATTCTCCCAGTGTACCGGAACCCGAGGCCTGCCTCCTGCCAGCTCCCCTGGGCGCAGCCTGCTGAGGGAGTTCTCTGCTCCAGGAGAACCAGCGGGCCAGGAGGCTGGAAGTGCCGGGTGGACAAATGCCCCACCTTCCTCGGCCCTCACGTGGGTCAAGCCCAGGTGTGTTCTCCACTGTCAGAGTTGCCGAACAGGATTTAAGCCCTGGTCGCCCACGGCAGTAACCCGCTCACTAACACACCCCGTGCTGGCTTCCTTTCCCTTCCTGTCTCATTTCCTCACTCCTCTGCCTGGAATCAGTGGTTTCCTGGAATCACTTCCCAGAGAAACCCCTGCACTGGAATCCACGTCTCAGGGCTGGGGACCGCAATGACATGTCCCAAGCAAATAGGCTAGTGCCTCGCAGGGAGGCGCTCTATAAATATTTGTTGCCGAATGCTATGAAGTCAAACAGTATAGAAATATAAAAACAAAGAAGTGGAAAAACAAACTGCCCCAGAGGTAACAACTATTCAGTTTAATGTTGCCCTGGCCAGTATGTCTCAGTGGTTAGAGTGTCAGCCTGCAGACCAACGGGTCGAGGGTTCGATTCCGGACAAGGGCATGAACCTCGGCTGCGGTTGGTCCCCGGCCCTGGTCAGGGTCGTGTGGGAGGCAACCAGTTGATGTGTCCCTCTCACGTCGATGTTTCTCTCTTTCTCTCCCTTCCTCCTGCTCTATCTGAAGACAAATGGGAAAATATGTTCAGGTGAGGATTAAAAACAAAAAAGGAACGTCTTTCCTTCCGGATCTTTTTCTGTATGCATACACATATATAACATTTATCACTCTGAAAAGGGAGGCGATGACATGAGTTGTATTCCCAGCTCTGCCCTAGGGCGAGTCATTTTCTCTGAGCATCGGGTTCCCTCACCTGTCAGAGAAGAAAAGAACCTATGTCTTGGGGCTGTCTGGGAGGAAGACATTAGATCATTCATGTCCCTACAGCAGTTCCCAGCACAAATAAGTCCTTATGCTCCAGAATCCCCGGCATCTGATTTCTTGTGTTCCGGACTATGCAATGTCCCTGCATGGATTTCCAGCTCCCACCCCATCTTCCAGATGGTCTGGGAGACAGTGGGCGAGGCAGCTAGCTGTAGGGGCTAGCTCTAATTACCCTGTGGACCAGACCCTTCCGGCTCTGGGCCTGCACTCCAGCTTGAACCCCAGGAGTTCCTCCAATCCCTCATCAGGCTCTGGAGGTCCTCTGTGGGGTTCCTCCCTGAGAACCTCCTGAGCATGGACAAGTGCAGACCAGAGCAGGAAGCTGGAAGTCTTGCAGGCGGAGAAAGGAGAGAAGACACCAGCCTCTACCCCTGAACCTCACCATTTTCTGGCCCTTCTTCATTGCTTTTCTTTTTAGAACAAACCAGAAATATTCTCTAGTTACTGTAAATGATCATTATGAAAACTATATTCGGGAACATGAAAAAATGCCTAGAATGCAATAGGAAGATAAATGAACAAGAACACAGTAGTTTGTACACTCAATCTACAGCAATGGAAAAATTACGTATGTGAGTAGTTCAGGACTGAGAGGAAAGAGAAAAAAACAAAACTGCTTCATTTGTTGGAGGTGGCACACTGTGAATAAATATATATTTTTTTAAATTCGTTTTTATTGATTATTTAGAGAGGGAGGAGAAGGGAGAAGGAGAGATAGAAACATTGATGTGAGAGGGAAACATCGATCAGTTGCCTCCTACACGCCCCCCACTGGGGATCAAGCCCACAACCCAGGCATGTGACCTGACCAGGAATTGAACTGGTGACCTGTTGGTGCATAGGTTGATGCTCAACCACTGAGCCACACTAGCCAAGCCCACCCCTTATTTATTAGATGAACAACAGAGGACCTCCCCACAAAGGAACTAAGTGATCTATCATCTCATATATGCAATAGACAGGACTTATTTGTTATTATTATTATTATTATTATTATTTTAAATCCTCACCAGAGGATATTTTTCTATTGATTTTTAGATAGAATGGAAGGGAGACGGGGGGGAGGGGGGGAGAGAGAGAGAGCATCAATGTGAGAGAGATACATCGATTAGCTGCCTCCTGCGTGACCCTAACCAGGGCCAGGGATCAAACCTGTAACCTAGGTACCTGCCCTTGACCAGCTGATCGATGTTTCTCTCTCAGTCCAAGAGTCAAACCAGCCAGGGTGGTAGGACTTATTTATACATCCACGAAGGCTTGTATCTCTTGTGATGGACAAGGCTTTTGAGCCCTAGCTGAAAGTCATGCAATTTGGGGGACCCTGGTTGGGGTGAGCAAGGGGGAATGGGCACAGCGTTGACACAAATAACTGTTCTATTCTTCTAGGGTTCTGACAAAGACTGGAATCCTACTCGATCACATAATGGCTGTGATCCTGGGAAAGTCTAGCTCCCCAACCTTCAGCCTCCTCATCACCAAATGGGAACTTGAATAAAGAGCCAACAAAACACTTCCTTCTCTATGGGCAAGTGTGTTCCTAGCACCATTCACCTGCAACCCTGACAAAGGTAGGACATCAGCTGCATCACCAGGGAACATTGCTTCTAGAACAAATGAGCGCTGACTGGTAAATTATGTCTAGACAAGAAAGGCTACGAATGAACTATAAACAATTAGTGAAAACCCACAGCTTCTTGGCTGTCCTGAGTGCAGTGAGTAACTGGTCAGTGCCCTCGCTGGAATCCTGGAAGTTTTGTCTATAAGACTGTTATAAGATTTGGGACATAGGACATCTAAGTCAGGGAGTCCCCATCCATTGGGGTCCCATTTCCCTGCACCTAGTCTGTTACCTGAGTGGGCCAGAGAACAGATGCTGTGTGTCCCCTATGGGAACTCTTGCTGATGAGAAAAGGCCTGAGTGTGTCAACAACACTGCATTTCCTGTCCCTGCATCCTTCTAGATGAAGTCGGTGCCAAGGACAGCCTAGCTGGGTCTTGTGAGTCCCTCTGGTTGAGCTCCAGAGGGGGGCCTGAAGGAGATAATAATAATAACCACCTCTCGGGTGGTGAGGATTAAGGGAAGATATATATACACAGAACTGCTGGCAGGGGACGTGACAAATGTCAGCCCCCTTCTCTCTCTCCCAGAAAAAAGTACCTGTGTTTGGGCTCCTCTCCTTGGTTTTTCCTTGGTGGAGAAAGGCCTGCCTCTGGTTTCCAATTGGGAGAGTCAAGTTCTTTTTCTTTCTTCTTGGCTTTTTCTCTTTCCTCTCCTTTTCCCGCTTTGGCGGATCCAGAGGAGTCTGAAACCCAAGGGGGGGCAGCACTGCTCACTCAGCTCTGCCTCAGCGAACCCAGCAGGGCTTTGAGAGGAGGGAGCGAAGGGCAGGGGCAGGGGCAGGGGCAGGGGCACGCTCCCCCAACACACACACATTTATACACAGATGCACATACAATATGCACATGTGTGCAAATGCACCCTCACACATGGCGACAAAGACATCTGCACATGCACCTATGCACATGTTCATACAAATATGTATCTACAGACATGTACAAACACACAAGCAAACAGAAATACACAACGCAGGCACATGTGCATGAAAACTTCCATATCTACAAATCTCGCACTTGAGTAGACAAACACTGGCACTCCCCACTAGAGAACATCTGTCATTTGTGAAGTCATTCAGCAAACATACACTGAGTGCCTGCTATGAGCCAGGCACAGTCCTGTCCCAGGTGCTAGGAGAAAAACATGGTCCAACTTGACCTTTCCTCCTCTCACCCAGCAGCCGCTTCCATTTTTTGATGAGGACTTTGGCCAAGGACACCACCTCCTTGTCTGAGCAGTACTTCCGGACCCCATTAACGGCGACTCCAATCCTGGTTGTCTGCAAAGCAAGAGGGTTAGAGACTGGTCTGGGAATGGACACACGGGATTGGCTGCCCTGGTTGACAAGCCCTTCCCCTGTTATACCACCCATTTCCCCCAGCCTCAACTTCTCCGGAGCCCCAGCCCTGACCTGTTGCTGAGATAATACCCTGACCCTCGGACTGAGACCCTGGCCTGCCGTCCTGAGTGAGGGCCAGTGCCCAGCACCCTGCACTGATGAATAACTGCAGCTTTGGTGAAGAGCTGAGGTGGTGGTGGGTCTGGCAGATGATGAGGACCTTCCCTGGTCCCAGTCCCCTGGTGTGGCGGGGGCATATCTTTAAGCTCGAGTTGTACCTTGAGACACAGCTCTGGCTACTGAAGCTTGGGTCTGTGCTGATCTTTTCAGAACCAAGAGCATCTGGTAATGTTTGGGGGCTATATGGGCAATGCAGGGAGGACCGAAAAATGGGGGACTTTTCCTTGGATCATTGGCCTCTTGGATCCTACAAGCCCAGGGCTTTGGGAATCAGGGTATTCAAGGAAAACACATCAGTCTTTCTTCCAGACCCAGAGGGCCCCCTGTGCTTGGAAGGTCCCCTGTGCCCATCTAAATGCCTCAGTCCCCACCCTCAGAGCACCTCAAGATTCCTTAGCCCTCTCCTCAGAAACTACCCCCAGACCCCACCCTTGGAGGTCTCCCTCCCAGCACTGTCCCCAAAATTTTCCACCCCCACCCCACCTGGAGTAGCTGGATGGACATCTGACAGCTGTTCAGCTTCTTCAGAAGGTCGAGGGCCCCTTCCTGTAGGAGGCCACAAGGTGAGGACTGAGGCCTGTGGGTTCTACCCCAGGCCCCTCTCTGACCACTGTGTGGTCTTGGTTGGAAAGAGGAGGGGAGGAGATAGGGAGGAGACTGTTCCAACTACAGGATATAGGCAGACAAGTGGTAAAAGAATAGGCAAGGAACAGAAAGGAGAGAGAAGAAAAAGAATCTGCCCCAGGTCAGCCCTCTACTTCATCCCTGCCACCCAGGCTGGGTTCAAGCCCCTCTGGGCTGTTCTTTCTACTGGGTATGTTCTCTCCTTCTCCATCTCTTCTTCTAAAATTAATTATTTTGCAGCTTATTATTATTGCTTTTGTGTCTGTATCCTCCTCGCCTCACTTTCCAACTGTGAGCTTCTACACGGTGAGGACTGTGGCTTTTATTTTTCTGCAGCTTTATCGAGGTATAATGAACCTACTATAAACTGGGTATATTGTAGGCTACAATTGGATGAGTTTTGACACATGTATACATCCATGAAACAATCATTACAATCAAAGTAAGAACATAGACATCATCCCCCCTAGTTTCCTAATTCCCCTTTCTAACACCTCTCTCCTTGCACCCAAACCCCATGCCCAGGCAACCACTATTCTGCTTTCTGTCATGGTAGAGGTGCTTACATTTTAAAGGATTGTGTATCAAGAGTACTGTAACAGCCTCCTTTTTGTCTGGCTTCTGTCACTTAGCGTGTTCTGAGATGCATCCATGTTGCTGTGTATATCAATAGTTCCTTTTCACTGCTGAGTCGTTTTCCATTGCATGCATATACCACAACTTGTTTATGCATTCACCTGTTGATGGACTTTCGGTAGTTTCCAGTTTGGGGCTACTACAAATAAGGCTGCGAGGAACATTCACGGGCAAGTCTTTGTGTGGACATACACTTTCGTTCCTCTTGGGTAAAGAGGACTGTTTTAGTCTCTGAGCCCTCAGGGTTCAGCCCATAGCCATGCTCCCTGCCTGAATGAATCAAGCAGAAAGTAGAAGGCGGGAAGAGAGAGTAGGTGGGGAAGAAAGGAGACAGATTTGAAAATCCGCTGGCGGCCAGGCCCTGAACCACCCCTGACCCTTTCAGCTTCCACTCACTTCCTAGAAGCCAGCCCCAGCCTCCTGTCCTGAGCTTGGTTCCCTGAGGAGCACCAGCTGACTGTGTCCTGTGCTCCTGCCAGGTTTCCTGGCCCATGTCCCAAGGGCGGCCAGTCCTCAGCCTCCCTTAGAGCTGGATTCACAGTCTGTTTTCAGAAGTGTGACCTGTGGGTTTGTGTGTGTGTGTAAACTTGTGGGCATATAACTCTGTGTGTGAGATTAATTAAAGGCTTACTATGTGCTGGACATTGTTCTAAGTATTTTCTGTGCATTATCTTAACTCTTTTTTCAAAAAGTTTTTTTCTTTATTGATTTTTAGAGAGAGAGAAAGGGAAAGGGAGAGACAGAAACACTGATTAGAGAGGATATCGATTGGCCGCCTCCTGCATGCCCCTGCACTGGGGATCGGGCCCACAACCTGGGCATGTTCCCTGACCGGGAATCAACTGCCAACCTCTTGGTGCATGGGTCAACACTCAACCATTGACTGGGCATCTTGTTTAACTTTTTTTTTATCCTCACCCAAGGACATTTTTTTCATTTTTTGTTCAGATAGAGTGGGAGGGAGAGACAGGAAGAGAAAGAGAGATATTGACATGAAAGGGACACATCGAGTGGCTGCCTCCCACACGACCCCAACCAGGGCTGGGGATGAATGGCAACCGAGGTAGTGCCCTTGACCGGAATCAAACCCACGACTTTGGTCCGTGGGCCCACGCTCTAACCGCTGAGCCAAACCGGCCAGGGCTTGTTTAACTCTTAAATGACCCTACAAGGTAGGCACTATTACTACCCTAATTTTTACAGATGATCTCATTTTCACAGAAGAGGAATCCAAGAAACAGAGAGGTTCAATAATTTCCTCAGAGTTATGAAGAACAGAGCGGGGATTCAAACTCAGGCATTTTAGGCTCGAACCACTATTCAGCTGTGTAAGTATGGACATGGATCTGTCCAGACTTGTACCATCATGGAATATCAACATGCGTAAGTGCAGTGGTATGCTGGTCAATGTTCAACAAGCAGTTCTCAAGGGAAAAAAATCCTGATTTGTTGATCCCTTGGGGGATCGAACAGCCCTTTCACAAGGGTTGCCTAAGACCATCGGAAACACATATTTCCCCTGGTGATTCGTGACAGTAGCAAAATTAGTTATGAAGTAGCAACAAAAATATTTTATGGTGGGGGGTCACCACAACATGAGGAACTGTATTAAAGGGTCACGGCATTAGGAAGGTTGAGAACCACTGCTCTAGACTGTAGATGATGGTAAAATGTAGTAAAGTAATTAGAAAGTGATTATTTTGGAGTATGTATTACCTTTGTTTATTTTTAAATATTTATTTATTTATTTTAAATTCTCACCCAAGGATATTTTTCCATTTATCTTCAGATAGAGTGGGAGGGAGCGTGTGTGTTCCAAAGAGAGAAACATCGATCAGCTGCCTCCTGCACACTCTGTATCTGGGATCGAGCTTAAAACCCGGGCATGTGCCCTGACCAGGAATCGAACTGGGACCTCGCAGTCCATGGGACAATGCTCAATCCACTGAGCCACACCTGCCAGGACTTATTCCCTTTGTTTTTAATATAATTTATTTAATTGTAAGCTTACAATTTAATTTTTAAAATAATGGCTGTATTTAACAACAGGCTTGCAAAATACCTGAAAGTTCAACCATCAGTGTCAGGCCAGTTCTATTTCACCACTGAACACGTGTCTCTATATGTCACACTGTATAGCCGGGTCATGTTGAAGAACAGACATGAGCCCCACTTGTAGTGGGCTCACAAAACGTTGGGAGCAAGTGTTGCATTGCCAGGTGTGTCTCTCTGTACCCAGATGTGTAGCCAGCAGTATCTCTGGTCCAGGTGAGGAGCTGTGGGTATGTAACTCAAAGCACAATGTGTTTATTTGTCTCTGTGGAATGATGCCTAGGTTATAATGTCTCAATACGTAAGTGCAGCTGTGTGTTATGTTTGTAGTTTCACATGTCTGGGTATTGCTTATTGTCTGCATGTGCACGTGTACCCATGTTGTGTAGTTGTCTTTGTGTATCTTTCTGTAAATATAACCGTCAGTGTATCTGTCATGTCACGGTCAGTAGCCATGTCTCATATGCGATTATACTCATAGTTGCTTGTTTAGTTATTATTGTGTATGGCTCTGTGTGTAGCTATATTCGTTGTGTATAATTGTGTGTATGTGTAGCTGTGACTTGGCGCTTACATATTTGAAGCTGTTTCAATGGGCACAGGCTGACAGTATCTGACAAAAGCCCTAAGTTGCTGGGACTTCAGTAATTGGCAGTAGACCTCGGGCCTGAGTTGCAACGTGGAGGATCGTCTTATTTCAGGAAGTGTGTCCTCCTCTCCCTAACCACCCCAGGCCGGGCCCATTTTCACTCCCAGAGCAGGCCCCACCTTTCTTGATCACATGCCCAGAGCTCTGTGCCCACTCAGACAGTGGGAAAAGCCCAGGCACAGACGTGGCTGCAGACTGGCTCTGAGCTAGAGACCCTGTGGCCAGAACTGCATCTTTCCTGGACAGAGCTCTGATTACTTCCACAGGAATGCATAGCAAGGGATACCACTTCTCTTCCCATTTCACAGAAGAGGAAAGTTGGGCCTGGAGAGAAGTAGAGTGGTGGGCCTATGGCCACCGAGGAGTGAGGAGAAGCCAGGGCCAGTCCTGTCCTTCTCGGCCAGAGCTCTATTCCCAACCAAGCTACTTTTCTCTGGTCTCCTCAACTTCCCCACCCCATCCCCCACTCTCCACCCTTCTCACCCAGAGGCCCAGAATCTCCTGGCCCAAACCTGAGTCAATAAGGAGCAGGGCTGGGATAACCTGTCTACTTTCCGTGGAATTTAGTTCAGAAGACGGGGTTTGGGCTCTGCTACCCCGAGTTGGCAAAGTGCCCCCCATGGCTTGTGGCTCAGTTTCTCAGATTTTGGAAGATCCCAGAATGGGGTGGGTGGAGCCTAGGATGTAAGGGTGAGAACCCTCTGCAGGTTTCTGTTTCATCTCGCTGTGCAGAAGCAGGTCTCATTCTCTAACTTAGCTGGCACCATTCCAAGTCCTACTAAGGGCGTCACCTCTCTTCCACCCTCCTCTACAGCCAGCAGAGACAAAAACCTAGTGACACTCCTTCCCAGGAGGTAGGCAATCTCAGCTTCTTCTTACAGATGAAGAAACTGAGGCTCTGGCCTTTATATCAACATCAACTCATTACTGCTCATGTCTGCTCTCCGGCTTCCTGACATTTCATGGGTGCAGCGATGCCTCTCTTTTCTCTGCGTTGAAACCTCCCTTACTATCCATCCCTTTCCCAAGTTCCTAGGGTCACAGAAGGCCTTGGAAACGCAAGTCCTGCTCCAAGCACAAGACTATGAATGGTGGGAAGAGGAGGGCCCTGGGACAGGGCGAGATGGGGAGGTTGAGGGGGAGAATGCCCAACAGGACACCCTCCCCTCTATTCCCTCCCCCGCCCCCGGGTGTGCCCAGATCCTCCCTGAACGTAGGCCAAATTTGCTCTGGCTGGGCAATCCCGCGGCGCCAGCCTGAGGCAAAGATCACTGGAAGGATCAAACATTAACTTCAAGTTGGCTTGCGCTCTGTGCTCCGAGTATCCGCAGGTAGGACCGCCAGCCCTGCCTCATTCTCCTCAACCTCCGGGTCGGTGCGCAAAGCCCAGGCCTCCAGCCCGGCCCCCTCCCCCCAGCCCGCGGGCCCAGAGGGCTGCGGCTGTCCCGCACCTGTTCGGCCCTGCGGGCGCAGGCCCCAGCCCGGCCAAGGAAAGGGGAAATTGCAAACAGAACAGCTCCTGGCGCCTGAAACTGTGATGTCGCGGGATCCGTGGCCTTTCGCTCCTCTCCCCCAGAACCACTCCCGGGTGCAAGGCAGACGCGACTCAGCACCCCTCATCAGCTCAAGTTTCTTTGACACTTTGGGGGCCACCAGGATTTTGTTCCATCCACCCGCCGTCGCCGACATTCCCTGGCTTTGCGGTCGTCGTCCGTCCCGGGACTCGGAAAGTCCTTTTCCAGGTCCCGATCTCTTCACTCGCTTTCCCAGACCTTGCACAAACTATCCCGGGGCCCACGAACCCTACAAGTCCCGAGGTACATGCACAAAGCTCGTCTTCGGGACTCGCATGATCCCCACCCTGGCGCCCCAGCCATGCACACGCCCATTCTGTGGCGCCCAGCAGTCCCCAAAGGGGCGCTGAGCCCGGACCAGCCGCGCCTCCCTCGGGCCAGTCCCGCACGCGCCTCCCCGGCACCCTGCCAGCACGCGCCCCGGCACTCCCGGGCGGGACGCTGTGGCCCAAACTCTGCAGCCTCACCGTGTTCTTCCTGGCTACCATCTTCTCCAGCTTTTTGGCGATTCTCAGCAGCTCCTCTTCCTGGCCCATGTTGACCCACGCCGCCTGGCAGGGCGAGGGGCGCAGGGGTAGCAGCCGGCCTGGGGCAGGGAGGCGCGGAGGCGGAGGGCGAGCAACCCGCGCGGGACGCAAGCACACACGACACACACGTCTGGCGGGGGCGGGGTCCCTCCGCGCCCGCCTGCCTCCGCCGTGGGGGAGGGGTGGCGTGCACTAAATATAGATTTCAAGGACTTGCCGGGGCAAAGATTGCCCGCACCGGCCAGTCGGGCCTCTCGAGCCGGACGAGGCTGCGAGAGGGCTCTCCTCCCCGGCCTTTCCCGGGGTGGGGTGTAGGGGCTGAGGGGAGGCTTGGGGAGGAGAGCTCTCTGGTGAGTCGGGAGGCCACCGTCCCGGGACACAAAAGGCTGTCGCAGTGAGAAGGGCGCCTAGTGTGCCCCGGGAGCTCCGGCCAGAGCCTGGGCTCCGCGTATCTGCCCCTTACAGTTCAAAGCGGGCGGAGCTAGCTCCGTCCCGGTGCCCAACTTGGTGCACTCAGGTCACATTTTTGGGTATTAAATCCAACTCTGCCCTACCCTATGCTTACTCACATCCTGAGCGCACGCGTATCAGGCCCTGTTTCTGACTATTTTGTAAATGTGGGAGTTTGCATTTCTAACAATGTCCTGGAGAACTGTGTGCGGTACTGCCGGACCCAGGACTGCCCTTGGAGTGAGGATTTGGAAGATTCTGCAGTGCACCAAACTTTGAGAAATACTGATCCAGGAGCATGGGAGCCCTCTATTCGGGGTCAGGGCACCGCCTCCCCAACGGGATGGCGCCTGGAAGGGTCATCTTGGGTGGAGAGGACACAAGCAGATTCGTGCCGCCACAGCTGTGCACACATCTGTTTCTGAGGAAGGACCTTCCAAGGGTCCCCAGCAGGTCCAGGTCTCTTCCTAAACAAATTAGTTGAATTGACAGAAAATTATCTTTGGTGGTGGTGAGGAGGGTGCTTAGGGACTGGAGGGGAGGCATGAAAAGTGGTCCACATTGTGTTCGGGTGGGGAGTTGGGGTTTGGGATGTTCATTGAAATCTCCAGATTCTCCTGACAGAACCTTAGAGATCCCCAGCCCAGCCCAGACACAGAGAGAGTGTGGTGTGGATTCATATGGCTTCTAACTGCTGCTGTCTGTTCTAGGATGGAGGTAGGACGTTGGGAGGTTTTTTATTCATTCAACAAATCTATTGAGCATCCAAGCAACGAACAACACAGCCCCAGCCCCAGCAACTTGAGATTGGGTTTGCGAGCAAGAGAAACCATCAACAAATAAGAACACAATGAATTCTGTATTATCACAACTGGGGGCAGGGGCAGGAAGAAGGGGAGGATACCTTATGGACACATTTGAGGGAGTGTCATGTCCTCTGAAGAAACAAAATTTAAACTTTGGGCAGAAGTGCAGAGTGGGAGTTGGAGGGAGGAGGAAGGGAGTGTTTATATGAGAGAAGAGACATGCATTCATGAAATATATATTTATTGAGCACCTACTAGTGACAGCTAGTTCTAGCCCTGAGTATTCAGAGGAACAAAGCAGTCCTCCCAGAGTTTCAAATGTGCAAAGCTTAGGGATGGAAGGGTGCTTGGTGTGTCAGGGTTGGAGGAACTGAAAATTGGTATGGTTGGAGCACAGAATTGAAAGGAATGTGGGGAGAAATGAGACAAAAAAATCAGATATGGGTGGGGCCCAACCATGCAAAACATTGCAGGCCACTTTTAGGAGTGTAGACTAATAGTTTGGGATTTGGGGAAGTCCTTTGGCCAACCCCCAAGCAAGCCCCTCTAGGCTGAAGGGCCAGCTGTCTGCAGTTACTCAGGACTGCCTTGAAATTTTTAATTTTTTTTTGCTTTCAGCTTTTGGTTTGGAGGAGACCTAGGTGCAGCTTTCTTCAATCGTGCTGAATCCAGGTTCATTCGACACCAGTTGCCTCCACCATGCACTGGTGGGGAAGTTGGTGCCACATCTGCCCTGGCCCCCAAGATCTGTCCCCTGGGTCTGTCTCCAAAAAAGGTTGGTGATGACATCGCCAAAGCAACTGGTCATTGAAAGGTTTGAGGATTACAGTGAAACTGACCATTCAGAACAGAGAGGCCCAGACTGAGGTAGTGCCTTCTGCCTCTGCCCTGATCATCAGAGCCCTCAAAGAACCACCACGAAAAAAAAAACATTAAGCACAGTGGAAATATAACTTTTCCCCCCACTTTTTAAAATTTTCACCAGAGCCCAGCTGGTGTGGCTCAGTGGTTGAGCATCGACCCATGCACCAAGAGGTCACTGGTTCAGTTCCTGGTCAGGACACATGCCCAGGTTGTGGGCCTGATCCCCAGTGGGGGGCATGTAGGAGGCGGCCAATCGATGTTCTCTCTCATCAATGTTTACATCTCTCCCCCTCTCCCTTTCTCTCTCTCTCAAATCAATAAAACAAAGATAAAAACTTTAAAAATCCTTAAATCCTCACCTCAGGATCTTTTTTTTTTTAATCCTCACCCGAGGACATTTTTGCATTTTTTGTTCAGACAGAGCGGAAGGGAGAGAGAGGAAGAGAGAGAGAGAGAGAGAGAGAGAGAGAAACATCGATGTGAAGGGACACATCGAGTGGCTGCCAGGGACAAACTGCAACCGAGGTACGTGCCCTTAGCGGGAACTGAACCCGGGTCTCTCTGTACCACAGGCCGACGCTCTAACCGCTGAGCCAAACCGGCCAGGGCTCACCTCAGGATCTTTTTCTATATATCTTCAGATAGAGTGGGAAAGAGAGAGAAATATCGATGTGAGAGAGACACATTGACTGGTTGCCTCCTGCATGACCCCAACCAGGGCCAGGGATGAAGTGCAACCAAGGTACATGCCCTTGACTGAAATCAAACCCGAGACTCTGGTCTGAGGGCCAGCGCTCTAACCACTGAGTCAAACTGGCCAGGGCAGAAATACCACTTTTGATGAGATTGTGAACATTGCCCAACAGACGTGTTGCTGATCTTTGGCTAGAGAACTCTGGAACCATCAAAGAGATTGTAGGGACTGCCAAGCCTGTGGGCTGCAATGTTGATGGCTGCCACCCTCATGATATCATAGATGACGTCAAGAGTAGTGCAGTGGAATGCCTGGTTAGTTAAGAGCTACAAAGAAAATATTTTGCCCTGCGGTGTGGCTCAGTGGATTGAGCATCATCCCATGGACTGAGAAGTCCTGGTTCAATTCCCAGTCAGAGCACATGTCCGGGTTGTGGGCTTGATCCTCAGTAGGGGGCGTGCAGGAGGCAGTCATTGATGTTTCTGTCTCATGTCAATGTTTCTCTCTAAAACGTATCAATAAGTCCGGCCAGTGTGGCTCAGTGGTTGGGCATCGACCCATATACCAAGAGGTCGCCAATTCAATTCCCGGTCAGGACACATGCCCAGGTTGTGGGCCTGATCCCACATCATCAGGGCTCAAAGGACCCTAAGAACATGAATCCAACCCCTTCCTTATACTGATGGGAAGACAGGCCCAGAAGGCCCAGGCTTGCATTCTTCAACTGTTTCAGACACTGTTGGTACCCACTGTTGGTCATGCAGGAGGCGGCCAATCGATGTTCTCTCTCATCGATGTTTCTATCTCTCTCTTCCTCTTACTTCCTCTCTCTCTAAAATCAATAAAAAAATCAATAAAAAATATTTATTCATTATATTTATTTTTTTTTTAATCCTCACCCGAGGACATTTTCCATTTTTTATTCAGATAGTGTGGGAGGGAGAGAGAGGAAGAGAGATAGAGAAACATCGATGTGAAAGAGACACATCAAGTGGTTGTCTCCCACACGACCCCAACCACAGCCAGGGACGAACCACAACCAAGGTACGTGCCCTTGGCCAGAATCGAACCCGCGACTCATTGGTCTGCGGGCCAACGCTCTAACTGCTGAGCCAAACCGACCAGAGCAATACAAATATATTTAAAAGAAAATATTTCAATTAAAGATCATTTGATAAAAAAACAAACAAAAAATTTGATTTTCCTTAGACTTCCACCCAGTTCCCACTCTGAGTTATATGACAACAAAAGAAGCCAAAACTCCCACATCATCAGGGCTCAAAGGACCCTAAGAACATGAATCCAACCCCTTCCTTATACTGACGGGAAGACAGGCCCAGGAGGCCCAGGCTTGCATTCTTCAACTGTTTCAGACACTGTTGGTACCCATCATATTCTCTCTGCTTACCTGTCCTTGCTGGGGGTCACCTGAAGGCAATTCCTGGACAAGCTTCTGACATCTTCCTACACCTCTCTGGCTGAGGGCTTCAGGGCAGACCGAAAGAGCTTGGGAATTGATACCCCCAATAAGGACCCTCCCAACCAACAAGAGACCAGAGTTGGTGGTAAAGACACCAATTTCTTCATTCAATGGGACAACTTGAAGTCACGTTCTAATCTATAGGGTCTCTTAAACGTCCCCAATAAGGTAAGCCCTAGATGCTCACAGTGATAGCTTCTCATTAACATGCCCTTTATTGCTTCTTGACCTTCTCTGTTTCACTTCCGTACTCCCTTGTTATGCTTCCTGGGATCACCTCACCAATAAACTACTTACCTCCAAACACCTGTCTCAGGGAAATCAAATTGAGACAAGAATGGGCAGAGCTAAACTGCACGTCTCCTCACTCCCGGTCCGTGCCCTTTCCTCCACCCCGGGCTTTCTCAACCCCGGCGCTATGAACACTTTGGACTGGATCATGCACTAAGGGGGCGGGGGACTGACCAGTGTAAGCGTGCTTAGCAGCATCCCTGACCTCTAGCCACTAGATGCCAGTAGCACTGTCCCATTGGGAGCAATAAAAAAAAAATCTGCATCGCCAAGTGTCCCTTGGGGCAAAATTGCCCCTGGTTGCAAACCACTGCTCTACATCAGGCTGTCTCCCTCACAGGGTCCAGAGAAAGAATTCCAAACCCCAAGACTCCCTCCTCTTCCTTATTGTTCTTCAGATCACATACATAAAACCAATGGGATTTACTAAAAAAATTTTTTTATTAGAGATGAGTGAAAGAACAAGTCAGAGATGAACAAAACCAGATGCTGGGAGCTCAGAAGACAACTCTGCTCCTGTGGGGCCCCAGAGCAGCCAGGTCTCCAGGTGAACAGCCTAGCCTCCGGCCGGGCTGCCATGGTGGCACGGGCACTCTCTGGCCTCCCCGGTTTGGCTAGGCCCATCAGCAATGAGGCGTTAGAGACTGCTGAGGGCTCGGTGGATGTTTTCTAAGACAGGGCTGAAAGCTAGGGTGGAATCTCTGGCACTGGGAAGCAGAACCGTGAAGTCTCTGCCCTCCCATTTCTATCACACTCCTTTCTCCTTGTGTTACCTTTTCCTTCCCTGGGGCTGGAAGGCTCCTGAGTTGACTGAGAAAGAGGAGAGAAGTGAGGACCCTCATCCAGGACCACCCCTTTCTTTCCTGCTAAGTCAAGGAGAGTGGGCAATGGGGGGAATGTGGTAGAGGTCCCCAGGAAGGCTGTGCTGTCCCTCAAAAGGAGTGAGAGTCAGACTGTGTGGTTAACGGGCAGTACGGCATGGACACTGACCAACCAGAATGGATGTGGCTGTAGACAACTACAATGTCATACAGCTGCTTGTCAGTCTGCCCCTGATCCCAGAACCATGTACCCTGCCCATTCCCAATCTCAACCCTTGGGACCAGCTTCCCAGCAAGGGGCCACATTCGCAGGACCCTTGTCTTATTCATGTGGCATCTTCAGTGCTTGGTGTAGGTCTGGACATAGAGCCAGAACTCAGTAAAGAAATATTAATGAATGGAGACAGTCCCTAGTCTGGCAGAATCCCTGGTCTGGAGAATGATGAAAGCTGGCTGGTCCTTCTCTTTGGAGCCCCCAGACTGATGAAGAGACAGAGTCCTGGACTGAGGTGGGATTGACGGTTCTGCAGCTGAAGCTAGCTCAGGAGCACTGAGATCCAGCCAAAGGGCCTCTGGTACCTGGCAGGTAATGAGATAGAGGGGAAAAAAACACCATCAGCCCTAACATGAAAGGGTCCAGTGTCCTTGGCAGGGGCATGGGCCCATGGCAGGGAGGAAGGCCAGCCACAGAGGCATAGGGACAGAGAGAACAAGACCAGAGGAAATGAACATCTCAGCTCCCCAGTCTTGTGGGCCCAAGTCCTAGCTCTGAACATCAGGGTCTAGCATGAGGGTGGGTCAGACATGCAAGGACCAGCAAGGAGCTAGTCTTGCGAAAGCTGCACAGAATTTGCCAAGAGAACCCCAGTTCTTGAGCCCCCTTCCTTCAGTGAAGCCAACCTGGGAAGAGAAGGATGGAAATTGACATTTTTAAAGCACTTATTATATACCAACTGTATCTCACTCAGTTTCATGACTGTCCTATGGTAATGATATCATAATATGGGGGTAGGTGAAAATATCCCCATTTTACAGACGATGAAACTGAGGCTTGAAGAATTGAAGCCACTTGCCCAAGTCTCCTAACTCTAAAGCTGAGACTCTTCATGGTTCAACAACAGGCATCAGCTGAATGCTGGGTGAGATACCTGGTTGTGGAGACAGATTAGTGTGTGGTGCCTGACTGATGGACTGAGGATGACAATTCCCCAGAGAGATCCAGCTCCTGCCCCTGCCCCTGTCTGCCCCCACTCCCAGTACAGACAACCAATGCCATCCCTGAGGAATTCCCAGGGGAACAAGGAAGAGAGGAGGCGTCCTTCCCCAAAGTATTGGCTCTGTCCTATGCCGCTCCCAGGTTCCTCAACTGACTGTATGCACACGCTATGCCCAGCAGTCTCCGTGGATTCCAGGAGACGCCTGTGCAAGGGGAGAGCTAGGCAAGCCGAGGGCTGGTACACAGCCATCCCAATCCCCCTCAACTGCAGGAAAGTGATGCCTTCTCTGAGCAACCACCCAGGGTGACACAGCTTGGCCAGAGCTTGGGCCTCCTCACCTTTGCAATCCCTCAAGGCCTGGGTGCTCCTCGGCTCCACCCATCCTGGGCTGGAGTGGAAGGAGGAGCACCAGGACAGAGAATGGCCACCTCGGTCCACATGCACCCTGACATTGGGGAGGTGTCCCACCCCAGTACACCTATTCTGAATCAACTCTGCCTCCCAGGTACTCTGCCAGCTCCCTTCAAACCAGTCCTGAGCTCCTACCTACCGGCATGTTCCTTCTGGGTAGAGGCTGCCTGGCTGAGGGACAGTCTTCCAGGTTCTGGCGCCCCCCGCCGATAGGAGCGAGTGCTCTCGGAGCTGGAAAGCAAGGAAAGGCCAATGTGACCCCATGGCGAGAGAGCAAGCTGGGGGCTTTGGACGGGTGGATAGAGTCCACAAGGTTCCCTGGCTGGATCCATCACAGGCCCCAGAGGCCTGGAACTGACCTCAAGAGAGCTCTGAGATTTCCCTATGTCTACTTCTCAAACTCCAAACTGAAAGTTTGTAAGGAAGAGAGGACATAGTGAAGACCCCACTGACAGCTTCTAGAACAAGCCACACAGGTGGGACTAGGTCTTCTCTACTCCAGCTTTAGCAGTCTGGATCCCAGATTCGTTTTTTTGTTGTTGTTAATCCTTACCCAAGAATATTTATTCCACTGATTTTTAGAGAGAGTGGAAAGGAGGAATAGAGGGAAAAGAGGGGGAGAGAGAGAAAAAGAGAAAGAAGAATAGAGATAGAGAGAAACATCGGTGTAAGAGAGGCACATCGACTGGTTACCACCCTCACGACCCCAACTGGCTGGGGACAAACTGCAACCGAGGTACGTGCCCTTAGCAGGAACCAAACCCAGGACTCTCTGGTCCACGGACCGACGCTCTAACCACTGAGCCAAACTGGCCAAGGTGGGTCATGGATTTTTTTTTGTCCTCACCCGAGGACATTTTTCCATTTTCTGTTCAGATAGAGTGGGAGGGAGAGAGAGGAAAAGAGAGAGAGAGAGAGAGAGAGAGAGAGAGAGAAACATCTACGTGAAAGGGACACATCGAGTGGCTGCCACCCGCACGACCAACCAGGGCCGGGGACAAACTGCAACCGAGGTACGTGTCCTTACTGGGAACCGAACCCGGGTCTCTCTGGACCGCAGGCCAATGCTCTAACTGCTGAACCAAACCGGCCAGGGCGGGTCATGGATTCGTAATCAACATTCCAAGTCAGACTCAGGAGCAGGTATGTAAAGGGGAAAGAGGTCCAATCACTCTCCACTTAGGTCTAGCATTTCTGCATTAGCCATGGGCCTCAGAGCTGGAAGGTACCCCAGTCTTCAGACAAACAGTTTAGAGGTGGAGAAATAAATGGATGCTCAGAGAGGTCAGACACTGGCCCAGACTGCATAGCTGAGTTCTCACCAACCTGAACCTGACAGGGGGATATATCTCCGCAGGGGTGGTTCCAGACGTCAGGCTGGGTTGGGAGGTGCCTGGGGGCTCCAAGAGGCTCTCTTCAGAACCGGGTGGGGTTTGGTTGGTACCCCCAAGTTCCACAGGACTTGTAAGGCTAGAGGAGGAGGACGTTGGACTGCTCTGGCTCTCAGGGGCCCCAGGAGGCTCTGAGCTGAGGCTGGGGACTTCGGAATGATCTGTAATCAGAAGTGATAAAGCCCGTCTTTATCTCTTAGTTTGCTCAATATCAAAGTGGTCTTTGGCCTCTAGGATTTCGCCATTCCCCTGCCCCCAGCTATCTCTCCAGCACTCTTCTTCAACTCTTCCCCATCATGCTGCAGTCTTATTCATCCCCAGCATTCATTCACAACAGCCAGGGCCACAATGATATACTGTTTTGCTGCTACTATACCTTCTCCTTGGTGTGGGCTTTCCTGCTCATCCCTCAGGCTAGCTCAGAGGCTATCCCGAGCAGCAAGACTTCCTAAACCACCCTCCTGTCCCAACAGGACATGCTCTCTCCCTCCCCTGAACTCCCAGAACAAGCCTGTTCATTCAATTCAACAAATAGTTCTTGAGAACAGCTAAGCACCATGCTAGGTGCTGGAGAAATAGTAGTCAACCAAACACTCAAAGTCCCTGTCCTTTTGGGATTTACATTCCATATTACAATGTGCCTTATATTATAAGGGATTGTGTTCCAGTTTTCATCTCCCCATTGGAGTGTGTCTCAGTAGCCCCAAAGGCTTCAAGACATAGTGGATGTTCAACAAATGCTTCTCTCTCTCATTTATTTATTTATTTATTTATTTGAAGGAAGAAGTGAGAGGGAGAGATAGAAACATCAATGAGATAGAACATTGATTAGCCGCCTCCTGCATGCCTCCACTGGGGATTTGGCCCACAACCTGGGCATGTGTCCTGACCAGGAATCGAATCGGCAACCTCTTAGTGCATGGGTCGATACCCAACCACTGAGCCACACCAGCCGGACTTCTCTCTCTCTCTCTTTTTATTTAAGTGAAGCATTGATGAATTTGGAATAAAAACAGACCTGGATTTGAATCCCACATAAGGGACTTATTAGCTGTGGGATCTTGGTTTAAGTTACTTAACATCTCTGTTCCTGTACTTATACGGGGAAGATGATAACCCCAACTTGTCAGGTGATTGTGAAGATGAACAGACTGACATATGTACTCTGAGCTCAATTCCCTTGCACAGTAGGCCCTCAGTGAATGGCACAATGAGCATTTTTCTGGACAGCCAACAATACCTCCACTGGTATGTCCCGCACGGCCTTGCACCATGGTCCGAGAAGGATTTTTGACTGGTAAGGGTGGGGGACAGTCCTCACTCTGGCTCTGAGGAGCAGCGGATCCCAGGCTGGCGACAGTCTCATAGGTCTTGTTGCTGATGTCCATCCTCCCACCGGCCCAGCGGGCCTGGGCCAGGGGCTTTGGAGGGCAGTGCTGCTGGGGCAACAGTATGGGAGGGAGGGCAGCCTGGTTTCTCCAGCTCACCCCACCCTCCCCACTCCAGGCCAACCTGGCTCTTCCCTCCTACTGTCTACAGGCCTGAGCAGCAGGGGCTGGGACCCACCTTCTCGTCCTCATCCTCCTCACTGTCAGAGCCAGGCTCTGGGGAAATTCCCCAAGAGTAGTCCACGTGCAGCGGGAAGGCCAGGGTCCCAGCCTGGGCCTGTTCCAGCTGCCAAAAACAAAGCCTTGGCAGTTGAAAGGGTCAGGGCTCAGAGGAGAAAGGGAAAGGGTCAGGGTACCCCTCCTTCCTAGACCTCACCAGCTCCTCGCACTCCTTGTGCTGCTTCTTCCTGGCTATGTCCAGGGCTGTTTCTCCGTCCTCATTCACTGTGAGGGGTAAAGCCAGGAGCCAGGGTCAGGTCAAAGTCTCATGATAGCTTAGAGGTTAAGATGGGCCACGGGAATCAAATTGTCTGGGTTTGAATCCTGGCTCTGCTACATCCTGGCTGTGTGACCTTGGGCCTTAATTTTCTCATCTATAAAATGAGTATGATACTTGTAACTACCTGACTAGGTTGTTGTGAAAATCAAATGAGTTAATATGTATAGAGCACTTGCCACATTACCAGGCACATGTTAAACAGTAACTGGTGGCCATTATAATCACTATAATTCAGGCTCAGCTCATAGTTATTTGGTTAGTTACTTTCAGAAACAACATTTTATTTTACCCTCTTAGCAGGCCTACTAGGCCAGTGGTATTATTCCCATGTTACAGATGAGGAAGCTGAGGTTCAAGAGCTGAATGGACAAACCCCACAGTCCCACAGGTGGTTAGATGCAAGCCAGGATTTGGACCCCAGTCTGACTACAAGTCCATGCTTGTGATCGTTGCTCTCTGTCTGGGGAAAAAGGCGAGGGGGTGGTCAGAGATGGGAGTCTGATAGAGGAGGGGTTTGAGCCCACCTGTGCCAACCGAAGCTCTTCCTTTCAGCAGCAGCTTGAGGCAGTCGGGTTGGTTGTAGAGAGCAGCGTAGTGCAGAGCACTGTTCCCATCAGCAGCCTTGGCGTCCAGGTGACCGCTAGGGAGGTGTGGTCAGGGAGGAAGGAAGGGGAATAAACAGGTGAGGGGTCAATGTCAGGGAAAAAGGCAGAAGAGAGGAGGAGGAGAGTGGGAGAAGAGCAAGGCAAGTGGGCAGGACTTGGACAGACAGGGAGGCTCTCACCCATTTTGAATGATGAAATCCACCAGGGGCAGGGAGGCCTGGTTGGCGACTCTGACAGCCAAGTGCAGGGCGAGCTCTCCAGGTGCCTAAATACACATCCACACCTGAGTTTACCCCAGTTCACCTGCCCCCAACTCGATACTGCTGTCCCCTGACACCTCCAGATACGAAGCTGTCAGAACCCCTGAGGGATGAGACTGAATGGAGAGACCTCATGGTTTTCTTTGTTTTTGTTTTTAAAAAATGTAATGTGTTTTTTATTTCTTTTAGAGAGAAAGGAGAGGGAGAGATAGAAACATCAATGGGAGAGAAACATCAACATTGATTGGCTGCCTCTTGCACGCCCCCTGCTGGGGATTGAGCCAAAACCCTGGCATGTGCCCTGACCCGGAATCAAACCGGGACCTCTGTTGCATGGATCAACACTCAACCACTGAGCCACACTGGCTGGGCTAGACCTCATGTTTGAGAGAAAGGTGAAAGACCATTCCTCCATCTCCTCCTTCAATAGTTCTGGCTCCTCTTTCTTGTCCCCAGTAGATGTTCCCCAAACTTGATTCTTGGCCCTGGGCTCCTCTGTTCCTCTCACTGCCACCCAGGACCTCAACTGACCTCACACTTTCGGTTGTCACTCATGTAGGTGTTTTGGGTTCTGAGCTCACCTTCATACTGCACGTTCACTGCCCACTGGACAGCCCACGCACATCAGACAGCTCAAGGATATGCCATCCAATTTTTTATGTTTAGCAACTCCTGTTGATTTAATCTTTCAAATATCCCTGACATCCTGCCCCCCACTCCCCAGTTCACAAATGTCCGTTACTGGAAAAGCCATACAGTGGCCTTCCCTGCTCTAATCTGACCCACCTTTATCCATTTCTAAGGGTATTCAAGAAGAAAAAAAAAAAATAGGTACTAACAACTTATTTTTTTTTCTCTATTGATTTTAGAGAGAGAAGGGAGAGGGAGAGATAGAATCATTGATGAGAGAGAACATCAACTGGCCGCCTCCTGCATGTCCCTGCACTGGGGATCGGGCCCACAACCTGGGCATGTGCCCTGACCAGGAATCGAACCGGTGACCTCTTGGTGCCTGAGCCACACTGGCCGGGCAACTAATAACTTATTGCACATATATTATGCACTAGGTCCTTTACTCACATGACTTTATTCTCATTTTAATGCTGTGGGTGCTATCATAAATCTGTTTTACAGGTGAGAAAATGAGACTCAGAGAAATTAAGTGACCTGCTCTGGACCACACAGTTAGGAAAAGACAGAGCCAGGATTCTGGCTCAGGTCTGCTTGACTAATCTTGTGCTCTTTCCTGTTTACCTCTCTCAAGGGTGGGGTTTCAGCAGATGTCAGAGGTGGGCAGAGGGGAGTAATAGCTGGTCCTGGAGGACCAGGGAGTATGTGAGTGCGGGTGGGTTATAAGTGGTCCTTGGAGGGGGTTCTCACCTGCCCTTCAGGCCCTGGCAGCAGCTGTCCGAAGTCCTGCCCATTTGCGAAGGCCTCCAGTACGGACAAGATGTCCTGGTTACAAATGGCCATCCAGAGTCTCTGTGGCTCGGGTGTGGACTTCCGAGCAAACCTGTGTTCCACATACTTGGCCACGATATAGTCCCTGCGGGTACTCCTGCCAAAGGCAACCACAGGATCTCAGAGCAAAAACCGTTTCCACCCAGTTGACCCCTGGAACCATCCCACAGGAGCTACGGATCTCCTTTCCCCAGAACCTGTCCTAGACTCTTCCAGGTCTGAGGCTTCCCTCTCCCCAGACTTCTGGTCCAATATCCTTCTGAGACCTTGGGAGCTGGGGAAGCAGAATTCCCATCCAAGATGCCCTCCATCTGACAGTCCCCTTACATGTCACTGTCAGCCGAGGGTTTAGGACCTCCGTGTGAGGGCAGCTGGGCCTCCATGACCTCATTGAAGCGCGTGTTTCCAATGTTCAAGGCCAGCTGGAGTTACAGGAAAGACTGGGTGGTTAGCACAGCGCCCCCTGTAGGACTGAGTCCTCCCTCCCCGAGGCCCCACCCCTTTTCTGTCTTGTCAAGATCCTGCCTCAGCCACGCCCCACTGGACCCCACAAGCTCTGGCCGAGCCACTCTGCCCATGCCCACCTCCAAGTCAAACCACGCCCCAAATCCCCTCTCGACCCCTCCACCCTCACCAACAACTCGGAAGGGCCCAGCAGGTCCAAGGTGAGGGACTGTATGCGTGAGAAGCGGACGCCCAGCTCACGGTGGACACCGGAGCACTGGATGCAGGTGAGCACGCCCAGGTTGGTGCTGAGCCACGTGGGGTCTGCAAAGGAGAGCCGCTCATTCCTGGAGGCGTGGCCCCCCCCTCCCCTTCCACCTCCTTCCCCACCTCGGCTCAGGGCTCGGACCTGCAGTCCCGCAGTCGCAGCACTGGCTGTTTCCGGGCCTGCTCTTCACCTCGGCGATGAGGAGCTTGGTGAGGTCCTGGAGCTCCCCATCCAGCCCGGCGGCCCCCCAGGGCCCAGGGCTGCCACTGGGCTCCCCAAGGAAGGCACTGCTCAAAGCTTCGTCCTTGCTGTTTTGCAGCACTGACACCCACCTGTGGAGAGTGCAGCAGGTGAGACCCCTGGCCGTGGGGTCCTGCCCATCAGGCCCCCTGCTCCCACCCCAGGCTGGTTGCTGGGGAGCACTCACGCCTCACACTCATGTTCATCCTCTGCCTGGAAATGGTATGTCCTGTTGTCTGTTGGGAGAGGAAGAGATGTCTGGCCCACAAGGGTCCCGCCAGCCTTCCCTGAGCCCAGGGAGCCCTCACCCAAACCTCTGGATCCAGCAGCGCTTTGCCCCTATGAGCCAGCCTCTGCCAAGCTAGGAGTGGGCGGGTAATGGCAGTGGCCAGCAGGGGGGGCAGTTTCCCAAAGGCGCCTACAAAGTAGGATTCCAAAAAGGCTCTCTGTGTGAAGTTGGGGTTCCAGGGTCAGGGGAGGTCTTCTAGGGCACAGAACCCCACCCAGCTCAGAGGCAGCGTCTCCTCTGAACCCACTGCCACCACCCCACCTGGCCCCACAGCCCCCTTCTGGTCTCTCTGCTCCTCATCTCTTCTCCTTCCCAAGCCTGTACCAACTGCCAGATTGTTGTTGCCTAGGTTCTGCTCTGACACACCACTCCCTTGCTCCAAGACCCCATCGGCTCCCTTCTGCCGGAGATAAGGTCCAGACTTTTCCGAGGCATTCCTAGGCCTCATCTCCCACTGCTCCTATGTGAACCCTACACCTGGCCAGACCCACTCTCCTGTTTCTATGCCTTTCCTCATGCCAACCCTGTCGCCTGAAATGCCCTCCCCAAACTCTACTTCCTGTGCCTTCAAGGCTAATGTCAAATGCTCTCTCCTCTAAGCAGCTTTTCCAATTCCCCACAGCAGGGTGGGTCATCCTCTCTTTAATCCTTGACAGTGCTGTGTCTGTACCTCTCTTCTAGACAGCCCCTCATCTTACAGCCCTGGGTCTCCAGTCACAGCCCTGCCGGAGAGGGCGCCTAAGGGTGGGACCTAGGCCTTTCTCAGCCTACACCTGCCCCCAGGAAAGCCTGGCACCAAAAGCTCCAAAGGCTGAAAAGCGAACAGTTTAAAGAAAGAATAATTCCAAAAGCTAGATGATCCAAATCCAAAGCTTCACAGAGTGTCCAGGGCCTAAGGAGTTTTCTGCCTGCATTCGCGGCTGTTTGATAAACGTGGAATTGGACACAGGCCCCTAACTGCAGCCTCCTGGTTGCTGACAAGGCTCCAAGAGAAGCCTTGGGCAGTTGTGGGGAAGGGGCAAGGACTACTCACGAGTCACCAGGTCAAAGCACTTTTTCTCCTCAGGGTTTGGCCTCACTTGGCACGTCAGCAGCGTCAGCTTCACTGGGGGCCGGTTTATCTGTGGGAAGTAGAGGTGGAGGATGTACACATTACCCTCTGGGACTTCTAAACTCTTAAGCCTCTGTTTCTCAACCTGTTAAATGGGCATAGTCCTGTTCCAGTTTATGTCTCCCCTCTCCCAGCACCTCAAGGTTGTGGAGTGTGGGCCAAGATGCGGCTGGGAGCTTTGGGTCCCATCCTTCCCTCCACAAAGGGTCTCCCGCAACCCGGATCCTGGTTTGGGGGTCAGTCTTAAGGGGAGGGCTTGACACTTCTCTATTCAGAACACCAGGAGGACAAAGGACCCATGGTGCTCCAAGACCCCCACCCCTCCAGGCCTCACCATGCTGTGTGAGATGGTCAGGCAGCCATACTTGACTCCACACTTCCTTTTCTGCCAGACTCTTCGAATTCTAGGGCCCAGGGGGATAGAGAGACAGTGACCCAAGGCTCACACCTAATTCCCCTGTATTACAAAACCAGAATCTGGGGCCAGGTCTCCAGGCCCCCAAATGACTTCCAGCCACACCTCTTCACCTCTTCTGACCCCTGATCCCTAGAGCCCTTTCTGGGGCTCCCTTCTGAAAGAGGAGACGCAGCTCTGCCCACAGAAGCTCCCAGTCTGATGGGGAAAACGGCCTCCCTCTCTGGGAATCCTTTTTCTAAAGGTGACCATGTGACCGTGACTCTAAGAGCTTCTAGTCTGATGGAGGAAACACAGCTCCCAACCTTAGGGAGCTCCTTATCTGAGAGAAGGAACAGGCTCTTAACCGTTACATACAAATTATGGTGAAAGACAAAGCAAGATAAATATCGAGATTCCCCAAATACAATTAGCAAATCCATTGTCCAAAGCTACTTAACACTTCAGTAAATATTTGGTTTAACAGAATTATTCTTCTCTAATAAAAACTGAGTAGACAGTAGAAACATGGACACATCCCATAAGGGCCTTTGCATTTCACAGACTGATATTTTTCTTTCTTTCTTTCTTTTTTTTTACATGAAGGAGCAAGGCAAAGGCAACACTTGCATTTCCAGGCACAGTCAGTATATTGTAGAGGTTAAAAGTGAGGGCAAGGAGATTATCTGGGGCATAATAAGCACTCAAAGTGTTAGCTGATGCTATTTTTCTTCTTCAAGTTAAGAACAACCAGTGACTTTTAGAAGTTCATGTGCCCAGGACTGGGATGATTTTGCATTGCCACAGTGGAGGCGCCTGGAACATCAGGATAAACACAAATGACAAGAATATTCCCTTTGGTCAGCAACTCCAAGCCTGACACTTACTGGCTGTGTGGCTTTGGGGAATTTACTTAAGCTCTCCAGATCACTTACCCATCACTTTTCTTGTATAGAAAGCCCACCTTCTCCGTCCCAAACTGCTTGTTGCCTTGGTGCTGGTGGATGCTGTAGCCACCTCCTGAGTTCTTCCGGCTCATGTTCTCCTGTTCCTCAGACATGCAAAGGAGACCTCAGTTGGGAAGAGCCCCATTCTGCAGGGGTCTCCCGCAAAAAGACTTAAAGGGACTCTGAGAAGTTTTCCTTCTCTCCCCACCCCACACATTTGTGCCTTGGGGGAAAGCATTTCTTTTAGGATGAGTCAGGGTCTGACCTCTCTGTTGTCAAGCTGCAGCGTCCCTCGGAGGGAGTCCCGAAGTTGGGTCAGCTTCTGTAGCTCCTCCTCCTGGGCTTGCCGGAGCTGTGGGACAGAGGGCAGGACCCCATCATGAGCCGGCAGATGTGCCAGGTGCAGGGTCCAGCACCAGAGCAGCAGGATAGGAGCCTCATTCTCTGGGCAGGGGCCAGCTCTTCCACACCCCCAGATTCTCCTGGAAGGACAGGGGGCTTGACCACATGCCAAAGGGTGTAGCCTAACTTACTGCATGTACCGAGGCTGCCAGCTTCTCGATGAAGGGGGACAGGCTCTGAGCAGCTTTCCAGCCATCTTGGAAAAAGCTAAGAGGTATGAGGCCAAACAAAGGACCAGAGAGAAATGAAGATGAGAGATGAAGTATGGGAGAAAGTGCTCCAAGAATCATGGGCAGTAAGTTTGATGGTCAAGGATAGGCACTCTGGAGTTAGAGTGTCTGGGTCCAGATCCCACTTACTAGCTGTGTGATCTTAGTAAATCTGAACCTCAGTTTCTGCATCTGTAAAATGGGGATAATAACAGCACCTGCTCACAGGGCATTGAAGGATTGAGTGAGATCAAGTGAGTCAAGTACTTAGTGCCTGACGCATGGAGAGTGCTCAATAAAGAAGAGCTATAAAAACGTTACCAACAAGGTATAGACATACAGAGTCCTTGAGGGTCTGCTAGACCCTGGACATGGGCCTTGTTCCCTGATGCCTGACAGGTTAAGGGGTGAGGAACGTGGGTATAGGGTTGGGGACAAGGGGAGAAACCTACTTGTGCTGGGCGTGGAAGAACTTGATGAGACTCTGGAGGAAGTCGGGCCCTTGCTTCATCTGGCTCTCCCCAGCTTTGAGCAGATACTGGGAGGAGGGCAGGGCAAGAAGCTGAATCCTCAACACAAAGGGCTACAACCGCCCCCCCCCCCCAGCTAATCCTCTTGGCCATGACTGAAGTTTGGTGACATCCCAAGGGCCACCTCACCAGGCCCCAAGCTGAGCCCGTGACTGGGCTGTGGAGGTTCAGGAAAGGCAGACAGGAAGACACATCCCACCCACCCTCCTCTGGAGCACCTGTTACCTCGCACATGTGCAGCTGGAAGACACGCCGCTCCCTCTGTGTGTCCTGGGCCACCTCCCCTGGGCTCCCTCCTGTCGCTCTGGCCCGGTCCCTCTCCTTCTCCAGCCTGGCCCTAGGCCCCAAGGAAAGAGAGGCCTGAACATCTCTCACCAGCCCCTTTCACAGCCCACCATCCCCACATCCTCCTCTCTGCCACAGGCACAGAGAGCGAGGGAACCTCCTGTGTGCCGGCTGTGTAGCAGGGCTGGGGTACACAGTGCACAAGGAGGTTCAGGGACCCCACAGGCTTGTGGGGGAGAAAGACATGGATCAAAACACAGCTGTGAGGAGTGCAGTGGGAGAGTAAAATGGGGGACTCGACCTTTTCCGGCTGCTCAGGAATTGATGTTTGAGCTGGGATCTGAAGTCTGAGAAGTTGCCTTGGAGGAATCTAGGGCTGGGTAGGAGGATCATAGCATGTGACGGCCGGAGGCAGGAGGGATCAGGAGCCCAGATGGAGAGGGAGGTGGTTCCAGGTGAGCTAAAGAGGGCCAGACCACGCAGAGCCTGATTCAGACCCTGTCAAGGTTCTTGGTCTTTATCCCAAGAGCGATGGAAGGACTGAAGGGCTTTATGCAGGGAGGTGACGGGCTCGGATAAGGGCTGGGTGGGAACTGGGGTGACCACTTATGGTTTTGCTGGGAGTTAGTACCATGTAGGTTAGAAGATCACTAAGTACCTTCATTCTTCTGAGGCGTGGAACTTCCCATTTAAAGCTTAGAAAACCTTCATTCTTTTCTTTGTAAGTGAAGATAGAAAGTGCTTCCCATCCTTGTAATTGAAAATAACCTGGGCCTTCTCCCTGCAGATCTTAAGTGTTGTCTGTTTTTTCTCTTTGGGGATGGGTGGAACTGTGTGTAAATGCTTTCCTGGAAATCCCATACCCATCGGACCACCCACTCCAGCCAGGAGAGTATTTCCACACTGGAGGCTGGGCGCATGAGACCACAGTCTGGTATAAAGGAGACATCTCGCTTAACAGTTCTGTTCCCAAGTGGGTGCCAGCCCTGAGCAGAGAAGCAGATGTGGGATACATTACAAGCTGCATTACTTCCTTCTTTGAGCCTGAGGACCCTTATCTGTACCCAGGCAAGAGCAAGTATGCAAAAGACTTAGTACATAGAAGATTCGAGGCCCCTCTAGGCCCCAGTTTCCCATCTGTAAATAGAGAGCAATGACCTAGAATGGTTCCTCAGGGCACTAAAGCTCCAAGCCTCACCGAAGTCAGACCTCTGGGATACTGTTTATATGCAGAATCGGTTCCTGGAGCAGTTTCTCAACCTCAGAACTAAAGACATTTGAACCATATAATTCTTTGTTTGTGGGGTCTGTCCTGCGGATGTAGGATGCTTAGCAGCATCCGTGACCTCTACCCACTTGATGCCAGCCTCCCCAGAGTTGTAACAACCAGAAGTATCTCCTAAGGGTGAGGGTGGGTGAGCAAAATCACCCCTGGGCGAGAACCACTGCTCCAGAGCGGGGTTCCGTAGGCTTTTTAAATTTTGTTTACATTTTCTCACAAGCAGTTATTTTTCATTCCAAGTGAGAGTTTGTGGCAGATTGGAGGAATTGGGGAGTAAGGACTGGATCTGTGAACCAGGTCTGAGGATCAGGGCACATGCTTCTCTTTGGATCCGAAGATGTGCAGTCGAGAGAGAGGCAATGGCTGGGCCTGCAGTGTGTTAGCAACAATGAGCCTGGCAGCTTGCTAAGTAGAGTGGGAGACTGAGTGGGCAGAGCAGCTAGGAGGGGGCAGGGGACTCTCCCAAGTATATACTGAAAAATAAGCTAAATGTCTATCAATAGGACGTGGTTAAATCAATTATGCTATGTCCCTACCAAGGAATACTATGCAGCTCTTAAAAAGGATGAGGAGGCTCTCCATACATGGTGGCGTGGAAAGATTTTTTTCCTCGAGTAAATGGACAGAAAAGAAGCCACTATATAGTACAGTGGCTAGAAATGTGGGTTCTGGATCTGAATGGCAGCTCCCTCACTTACTTAACCTTTATAATTTTTTCTAAGCTTCAGTTTATTTATTTCAAAAATGAGACTAATACTGCCTCGTTCTCAGATGATGTGATTACAGGGGAAACATTTAGCACAGTCTCTGACATATGGTAAGCCCTCGATAAATGGGAGGATTATGATGATGATAATGATACTAATGATTAAACAAGCACTACTGGTGATTCCTTTAGATGATCTTTTTAGTATAGGGTAGTTCCTTAGTTATTTATTCAATAATTTAAATACAGGGTCTAGTGGAAATTAAAGGACAGAACTAGTGAGCTCAGGATGAAGATAATCTGTAAAGTACATGGATGACTTTGTGAATTACCATAGCTCTGTCCTCAGCCTCAACTCTGGTAATTTACAGATTTACCCCACAGAGTCTGACACAGTCACCTAAGATGATCTGAGAACTTCAAACTAATAGCTGGGGAGTGCTTCTCATTTTAACTCCATCACCCCCTACCACACCCATAAAATAGCGACTCCCATTCCTTCCTTGTTCTCAGAGGCTCACCACCGTTTATAAACATTTTAAACTTTTCTATTTCCTTTGAATGAAGTGGCAGCAGAAGGAGTGAAATGAAATGTGAGTGAAAGGAGCTGAAATGCTAGTTACTAAGAAGCCCGAGGTAACTGGAGAAGGGTTGACCGCAGCAACATTCAGGAGACAGGGACAGATAGGAGAGAAAAGGAATCAAATGGATCATGTACCCGCCAGACTGACCTTAACCCACTTATCCTGTGGTGCCTCTTCCAACCACCCTTCCCTCCACCCAAACAAAACTACCTGCCTTTTCTGCCACCTCTGGGCTACTCTCATGGCACTGTCACCGTGCTTTCATTATTTACTGAGCCACCTCTCTTCTTGCTTATAAACTTTAGTGGAATCCACTAAGGTGGGGGTTGTGTTTTTTCCCCTCTCTACTTACCTATAGATTGGGGATAATAACAGCATCTTTCCCTGCCAGGGGGGATGAATCTGATAACAGATGTAAAGGGCCTATCACAGTGTCCGGTACAAAGGGAAGCTCTCAAGTAAATAAAAGTATTAGCTGCTATTATTATTAATTAGTATTATTTTAAAGCACTAAAGCAGTAACCCCATTTTATAGATGAGGAGCCAGAGATGATAAGTCTCTTGTCCAAGTCTCACAGCTGTTAAGTGGTACAGCAGGATTTGAACCCAAATCCTGCTAGAGCCCTGGGGATGGCACTGGTAACCAACACTGTGCTCAGATTTGTGTCACCCCTCCTTCCCTGCCTGATAGTCTTAGTGTCTTTTTGTTGTTGTTAATCCTCACCTGAGGATATTTTTCCATTGATTTTTAGATAGAGTGGAAGGGAGGGAGAGAGAGAAACATCAATGTGAGAGAGACACATCAATTGGTTGCCTGCTGCACGACCCAACCAGGGCTGGGGATAGAACCTGCAACCCAGGTATGTGCCCTTGACCGGAAATCAAACCCGCGACCCTTTGGTCCTGGGCCAATGCTCTCACCGCTGAGCCAAAACAACCAGGGCCAGTGTCTTCTGATAGATCATGGTCAGGAACTATTTTACAGATGATGAAGCTGAGGCCTGGACAAGGGAAGTGACTGCCCACGATCCCACGCTGGCCAGGGGAAATGCTAGGAGCAGAGGTCTGGGCTCCTGCCTCTCAGCCCCTTGCTGGGTTATTCTGGTCAGTTCTGGCTCAGATAGATGGTCAGTAAATTCTTGTGGAACTGCAGTGCCAGCCGCTTCACATGCACTGCACGTATTTCATCCCCACGTCAACCCTGCAAAGTCTCACCAGTCCCATTTTGCAGATGAGGAGACAGTCCTGCACATGGAACAGACTAGATAAACTTGGCCCTGTACAGGGCCTGGGATGCCTTTCTCAGAAGCCCCTGGTGGAGAGGGAAACCCTCCTATATGAACAACCCTATATGAACAAGACAGATGTTATCAGGGCCCTGGGCCTTTTGAGCTGCTGCCCAGAGTGGTTTGTAAGTATGAGGTGGAAGTACTCATTGACTCATGGCTCATCAATGGCTAGCTGTAGCTGGAGTGCTCATAAAAAAAATGTACCAGACACCTGTGCCAGGACATGTACTGATGTAATATGCATGTCAGGAGCCAGAAGACCATACAACATGGCAGGAAAAACAATGAACTAAGAAGCTTTGGGTTCTAAACCAGGCCCTATTAATAACTCACTAAATAATCTCAGCCAATCCCCTTTTCTCATCAATTACACAACTTATTTTCTTTAAATGAAACCTTATAGGCAAACTCAATATATAAGCCTGATAGAAGCAGAGCTTCTTGGGGAAGGTCGGCAGGGTAAAGTTTATTCTTCCCATTTGGCAGATGATGCCTTGAAAGGTTAAGGTCTTATTCAGGGTAACTCGGGAAGGCCATGTAACCCACATCAAATTATAAAGAAAAAGACAGCTTGTGTGTCCACGCCTCTCCCTAGGCCTGTAATGAGGGCAAATGGACACGCCCATCACAGCTCCCACACCCGTCACCACAGGATCTACACCTGCAGCTGGAGTGTAGACGGAGAAGCTGGTGGAGGGAGAAGTCATGCCCTTCATTCAGACTCGGGGAGGTCCCGTGGCTCTGGGAGCTGGAGGAACAATAAAGCTCCAAGACCTACTTCTTGGAATCGAACCTACAGAAATAATTACAGGTGGCAGCAAAGATATTGTTCCAAGGATGCTTCCCCAATGACAGGGGTGGATGAAATACCTTGTGGATTATGCAGATGTTGGCGCACTTGCATCATTTAAGTGACATTGTATAAGAATATGTAATGAGCCCAGCGGGTGTGGCTCACTGGCTGAGTGTTGACCCATGCACCAAGAGGTCACCAGTTCGATTCCTAGTCAGAACATATGCCCAGGTTGTGATCTCGATTTCCAGTGGGGGCATGCAGGAGGTGGCTAGTTGATGTTCTCTCTCATTGATGTTTCTCTCTCTCTCTCTCTCTCTCTCTCCCTCTCTCTCTCTCCTTTCCTCTCTCTCTAACATCAATTAAAAAAAAAAAAAACGTAATGAGCCCGGCTAGTGTGGCTCAGTGGTTGAGCATCGACCCAGACACCAAGAGGTCACCGGTTTGATTCCCGGTCAGGGCACATGCCCAGGTCATGGGCCAAATCCCCAGTGGTGGGCATGCAGGAGGCGGCCAATCAATGTTCTCTCTCACTGATGTTTCTATCTTTCTCTCCCCCTCTCCTTCTAAAATCAATAAAGAAAAAAAAATTTTTTTAATGTAATGATGCAGAGATGGTCACAATGCATTTTGAAGCATGAAAAAGATTACAAAACAGTACGACTATTATGATCTAGGTTTTAAAAAATATAAAGAGGAAAATAGCTAGAAAGATGTTAATACTTTAGCCTTGGAAATTAAGGATTTTCCTCCTAGTTATTGGTAGTTCCTCCTTCCTCCACTCTTTTTAAGTGATAAAATTACTGTTACTCACACCATTTAAAAAAAAATTCAGACCACAGAGAAGTACTAGATCCTCCCCACATGACCCTAATACTTTCCTCAGGATAATTAAAAGTTTTTATTTTTTACTTCATATTTTCTAAGTTTCATAAGTGAACATGTATAGCTTTTGCAAAATGCAAGAGAAAAAATTTTACAAAGGCGTACGGTGGGCCTGGCTGGGCCCTGGAGAGGGCAGGGCTAGGACCTGTAAAGAGTCCAGAAAACAGAGCCCAAGGTGTCTCTCCTCAGAGGGATTTGGTCACTGGGTGCCCGAGGCTCCTTTTGTCCCCCTGATGTCATCAGTGGTGCACACAAGACACCAGGGCATGATATCAACTCCCTTTCCTCCTCTATGTCCACCTAAATGTTTATAGATAACACCTGGTGTTGCAGAAAGAGGATCAAGGAACACAAACCCAAGCTCTGCCTCTGCCTAGATTTGTGGCCTTGGGAAAGTGACTCAACCTCTCTGAGCCTCCAATTCCTTCTGTTAATTGGGATACTAATATCTCCCCCACAGGGCTGGGTGATTGTGAGGGTTAAATAAACAGCATACGGAGGTGTTTAGTAAATGGTAGCTCCTCTCTGTCTCTGCCACACCTGGCACCCCCAAGCAGATGGGTCTCTAGAGCAGCATTCTGAGGTCTCTTCACAATAGCTCCCCTTTGGTGGTCCTGTGCTCCAGCCCCCAGACTCCAGTTAGGCCTGGTCATAAACCACCACGACCACGAGCACCTTCACCCCCTGTAAACGCCTCTAGAAAGCAAGGTGTCATGCGCTTTGGGGCGACACATCCTGGCAGCATTCAGGCTCTTCCCCAATTCAGCCTCCTGCTGCAACATAAGCGCCACTCTCCTGGACAAACCACCTGGCCGCTGCCACTTACATTTTGGCTTCGTAGTCCTTCCACGCCTTCTCCAGCTGTTTTTTGGAATCCTGTGATTTAAAGAGAACAATTTGCCCAAAGGGGTACTTGGAGTGTGGAATCAACAGTACACTTTGCTACCGTTAGGGGAACCCTACATGTGTGCTTCCCTGTCCCATTCAGAGCCATACTTCAACCAGCCCCTGTCCCCATAGCTCTGATGCGAACCTGCCCCCGCATAGAAACACCCTCGTTCTCAGGCTGAGCTTCTCCCACATGACCTCTTCCCACAGTTGCCAAGAATCAACCGGGTTTGGTGGGCCAGGCCCAAGTGTGGGAAGATTTTGGGGGTCTGCCCTGAATTCCCTCCCTCAGAAGACAGAGATCACCATGAGGATGAGGATGGGGGGATAAAGGTTAGACTTTCCCCCAATTTTATCCCACCATTTCCTCCTGCCTGGTACTAGATCACCCTCTCGATAGGAAAGGTGCAGGGAGAGGCTAAGAAGTGGTGCCCTGTGGTCTCCTACCGAAGGCCACACAGCAAGCCAGTGAGACCTGGCTGATCCCTGGCCTAGTTTGCCTGGGCCTGGCTGCGCACACCTTCAGAACAGTCCTGACTCCTGGGTGCCCCAGTCAGCCAGGTGAAAAGCTGCCTGTCTGGTTTGGGTGGTTCCCAATCAGTGTCTAGCCTAGGGCAAGGAGGGAAGCCTCTGCGGGAGGGGCACAGCTCCAGCCCTGGACTGTCTGGGGCAGCCTTTCCAGGGAGATTCCGGTCACTTCTTTGAGCTCCACTCTGCCTCAAGCCAGGCGCTGCCAAGTGCGGAGAGAGCCGCCAAGCACGGGAGTCGGAAGTCCGATCCCACATGGGCTCCTCGCTGACTAGCTGTGTGAACTGTAAGCAGGTGGCCAAACTCCTTGGGCCTCCATTTGTTCAACTGCAAAATGGGGATGATAGTACCCACAGAGCTCACCTCATAGGGCTGTAAGAATTCCACGAGCTAGTTCACATAGGGCCCTGGCAGACAGCAGGCAAGCCCTCCTAGGCTGACCCCAGAGCCAGGTCCTCCTATCCTTCTGAGGGTCAGTAATATGGGGTCAGTACTTCCCCTGTGACAGACTTGCTTGGCCTCCCCTATGGCCTCCTGCCCACCCCTGCCTTGCTCCATCCCCCCACCTCTGAGTATCCCCCAACCCCTCGCTCTCCACATGGAAACTCACCTGTCGCCCATCTCTTAGTTGCCCCTTCAACAGACTGTCCAGCGGGAAAGAGACAATGTTGTTCAGGTTCTGAACCTGGAAAAAGCAGAGACCCCCAGGCCCCACCTTGGGTGACCGTCTGTCCAGCCCCAAGGGGCTTGAGTACAGGGAAGCAGCATGATGCAAAGGACATCGCTGGGGTCAAGGAAGCAGGGGAGAGAAAGATGCGAAGGTGGGAGGGTAGAAGCGGGTGGCACAGTCGGTCTCCCGTAAAAGCTGCTCCGCCTCCCCTGACTAACCCGGACTCAGCACCTCACTGCCCCAGGGACATCCACGATCAGTCCCATCTCTGTTCTTTTGCCAGGAGCACCTTCCCTCCCTTCTCTGACTCTCTGAAGTCCCCCTATCATACCTACCTGTTGTTTTTGTCTGGCTAGTTCTTTGTCTCCCCATTAATGTGGAGAACCCTTTCCCTGTGGTCACATGGGGTGAGCACAGGAGTCAGAGCTGACCAGAATATACCCCATCTTTGGGCTATAGTAGTTGGATCAGAAACAGGCACACGGCCCGTCAGCCAATCAGATCCTTTCTGGGACTTTTCTGCCAAAGTCATGGGAGAAAGACTGTCTTTCTTCAGGTAGGATATGACCCTGGGCCTGCTGGGCCACCTTGCCCACTGAGCAGAGACAGGAGAAACTGTCTAAGAGAATGAAGGAGCCTAAAGCCAGCTGCACTTCTGGATTTTCCACTGCAGGGGCCAATGAATTCCCCTTTTAAAAATTAACCTAGTTTGGGTTGAGTTTCTGTCATTTGGCAACTTGAAATGTCCTGTCTAATATTTCAGCCCACCTTTCAAGGTACAGCCCAGGTTTCCCCTCCTCCAGGAAGCCTTCCTGACCACTCCTGCCCGTGACCTATGCTGACCTCCCCTTTTCTGAACCAAGTAGCACTACTCTGGCCCAACCTGCTGGGTCCTTGAGTTTGTGCCACGCTGCTAGTGTTGCTTGGTATCATCTCACACCTGTTCCTGTCTCTCCCACTAGACTGTGGCTCTCTGAGGAAGAGCCTGACTCTCCCCTGTGTCACCAGCCCCTGGTACAATGCCAACCACAGAATAGACCCTCAGCAAACACCAGCTTGAGTGACACAAGGGAAAGAAAGATAGAGACAAAGGAGGTCACTACTTCAGCTGAACTCAAACGCGGTGAAAGGCCTCTGTGTAGCCCAGTGTGCGAGGCAATGCCACACAAGAGATAGGGTGACAGTCGGCAACATTAGCTAACACTTACTGACTGAGTGCTTACTCCGGAGTAGGAACTTAACTTGTGTGATCCTCATTACAACTCTGTGAGGCAGGTACCATTACGATCCCAGTTTTACAGATGAGAGGCCTGGGGCTCAGGCAGATTGAGTGACTCACCCAGGGCCACACACCTAGTGAGCAGCAGAGTAGGGATTCAAGGCCTCGGTCTAAGCCCGAGGTCCAGGTACTTAACCACTGAGCAAAATGCTTCTCAGAGATGCGGCCCTGCAAGCCCTGGAGGATACTGGTGGAATCAAGCCACAAGAGCTGAGAGCTGGTCCAAGGAAGCCCCTGGGAGAAGGGCTTTCCTGGGAAGGGGTACAGCCAGGCTTGTGCTCGGACCCTGGAGCCAGACAACCTGGATTCAAATCCAGCTGTCTGACCTCAGGCAATTGCTTGATGTCCTAGTTTCCTGGCCTATTAAGTGGAGACAATGGTAAAACCAACCCCACCAAGCGGTGCTCCAGGATTAACTGAGTTAACACGTAAGGTACTAAGAACCAGGCCTGCACAGGGAGGAGGCAGTCTCCGGCAAGAACCTGAGGCCACTGAGCCCCTGCAGAGTTGAGAGGCTTGTTGAGACAAAGCAGGTTCTAGCTTTTGAGGTCAAAGCAGATGCAGTTGGGAAAGTAGAGGACAAAGAGGGTTGAGGAGAGGTGGTGGCATAAAAACAGGAACCCTCCCGCAAAAAAAATAAATTAAAAAAAAAAAACAGAGTCCACCCTCCTTTCTCCCCAACCTCCTCCAGGGAGCCCTCCGTCCGTAGGGCTCTTCCTCACTGTGAGATCCCCTCTGCTCCTGGGCAGTGACCACAGAAGACGAAGAGGAGGGCAGACACTGGGCCAGTGTGGCTCAGGGGACTAGGATCATCCCATGGACTGAGAGGTCCCAATTCGATTCCCGGTCAGGGCACATGCGCACATGCCCAGGTTGCAGGCTCGACCCCCAATAAGGGGCATGCAGGAGGCAGCAGATCAATATTTCTCTCTCACATTGATGTTTTCTAACTTCCTCTCCCTTCGGCTCTCTCTCTCTCTCAAAAAAAAAAAAAATCAATAAAAACACATTTTTTTAAAAAAGAGGAGGGCAGAGAGGGAGGAAGGGAGACAGACAAAGAGACAAGACATAGGTGAGAAGTCAAAGAGGAAGAAGAATGCAAAGGTAGGTCAGAACTAGAAAGGGACTTCAGGTCATGGGTCAGAGGTCAAGGGAGATTAGAGGTCAATGAAACCTGGGAGAAGGGTAGAAACCAACCCTTTTCTGGCCAGGTTCTTAAGCCCACTAGATTTACCCTGAGCCTGGGCTAGGGGCTGGCTGAGAAAGGATTAGGGCCTCACCAAGTTCTTGAAGAGTGCGGCCACCTCTCGGGTGAACACAGCCAAGTTTAGGAAGCCGGTGGACAGCTCATGACTGTTTTGGGACAGGTGGCTATTGCCTAAGGATTCCACGGCCTCTCGGTACTGCTCCTCGTTCTCCACGTGGCCTGTGGAGATAGGGAAGGGAGCTCAGAATGAGCTCCAGGCTGAGGCTGGGGAAGGGGCTGCCTGGCCAGGCTGGGCACTGCGTGGGCTCACTCACCAAGGCCAGAGCTGTGGATCGCTCGCACAGCCTTCTTTATTCTCTGCAGGATGGCCTGGTCTCCTTCCAGCATCTGGAAGCAAACGTGGACAGAGGTTCAGGGATGCCCAGATGGAAGGGGTGCCTGGCTCCACGATCCCACCCTCCAAACACACAAATAGAGTTTCCTCCCTAGGGCTCCCCTGTACCCTCCTCAAACACAAATTGACCACCCACTTCTACCCAGACCACACAGGAAACCATAGACCAGTCATACCACTCCGGGAGGACCACAGACTTCTCCTGATTCCAATGCAAGATGAATGAACACAGAGATTCCAAGGCATGTGGGATAGTGGGATATACCAGACCTGGCTTGAATCTAGGCTCTGGCACTAAATAGTGTGTCAACCTAGAAAAATCTGTTAACTTCTCTGAGCCTTGGATGCCTTGTCTGCAAAATAGGGATAATACTGTGGACTCGAGGTGTTGCTGAGAGAATTAATAATTTTATGATTATGTAAAAAATGCTTAGCAAAAGACCAGGGAGAGAACATGGACATTTCTACACTCTCGAAAGACACAGATTGGGGAATGCTCGCTCCCTAAATCCCAGGCTCAATAAACAGCCATGTGAGGATAAAGAGGCAGAGGTGGGATACCATGGGTGGGCAGAGGGCACACACTCAACACCCCACAGGAAAGAATTGGAGACAGGACATCAGGCAACCTCAGAGTCCAGGGGCTACAAAACAAACAGCAGAATGGGGACGGCCAGAAGATATGATGGTGAGAAGCAAGCCTCACACACCCCAGCAGACTCACCCCATATGGAAACCACCCCTCTTTTCAGTGGGGTGTGGAAGCTGCCAACCTCGTGAAACCCTTATGACATACATTGTTAAGTTGGAATGTTAGGGCCGCACAGGGCCCATAGAACCATAGAGGCGGAATCTGAGGTCAAGAGAGGAAGGCAGTGCCCAGAGTCAAAGAGTGGGCAGGCAGAAGAGCTGGGCCTCCAGGGGTGCTCCAGGATGGTGCTCTATCCACAGCCCCACCCTGACCCCAGCCCCACCTGTTTTGTCCGGTGTCTAAAATGGGATCAGAGTTTCATCTCCAAAGAGTTACTGCAACGTGACAAGAGTTAGCAAACACATTGGAATGGTATCTCCAAAGATTCTAAACAATGTTCACAGAAGGACATGCACAGGGCAGAGCTTAGAGGCCATATGGAGTGTTCTCAGAAGTTTCTGGCATGTGGGAAGCCTCTGAAGGGAGGGGGTCCGGTTTTGACCCCCAGACGCTGCGTGACCTTGGGCAAGTTGCCTATTCTCTCTGAGCTCCCAGATCAGCTCTCTGCAAAGGAGAGGAAATAATGGCCACCCCTCAGGTTATGAGGATTATTTTGTAGGAGATGATGCATGCAAAGGAGTTACATGGTGCTAAGCAGAGCGTGTCCTCAATGAAGAGAATCTATGACCATTACCAGCAGCTGCTGATGGTGATAAAAAGGGCCATCAGAAGCTGGATATTTTCCCTATATGGATTAGCTACCTCACAGTCTCCTCCCTGAGTATGAACTTGAGATACAGTTGTCCCTCGCCACTTCGCGGTTTGACTTTTGCGGCTTCACTCTACCACGGTTTGTTCAAATATGTTCATCAAAAAGTTGATTGAGACAGTGAAAATGATACAGCATGCACTCAGTTGTCTGAGTCAATTATACACCCCTGTATTACAATTAAAATTAAAATTACTGTATGTATGGACTGTAGGCCTATGTATTCGAGCACCGCAGGAATCCTTCAGCGCCAGGTGCAACCACTAGAGTCTGGAACGGATTAACCGCGATAAAGGAGGGATGACTGTGCTTTCATGTTTGGGACCAGTGGAGGCCTACTACAGGGCTGAAGAAAGTTAAGCACTTAGGGAGATTGGGGAGGGAGGCGATAATCAAAGCAGCTAAAGAACTAAGACACTTCTTACTGGAGAGACAAAAACAACAGGAGAGAATATGGACATCTCCCAAAGACCTGGATGGGGAGACACATGTCTGTCAAAGCCCTTGATCCCCACCTTGAAACCTGAAAAGGGAAAGCTAAGAGGTGATCAACTTAAGGAGCTGATTTCACTTCAAAAGATGCTACCAGGTAAAGATAAGAACAAAATCCAAAGAGATTTATAAAACCCCCTAGAAGGTAGATCTGTATGCCTAGCATACAAAAGATGCTCAAAATTGTTTACCTAGAACGACAGTTTTCGAAGTCCTGGGACACGGACCTGAGAGGTCTACTATGTCCATGCTCTAGATACTTTTGGGGAGTCTTCCACCCCATGATGCCCATTCTCTAAAAACTGCCTTCTCCCCTCTAGAGGTGAACCCTTGCTGCCTTGTTTGTTCTAGCCAGAGTTAACTGGACCAGGGTGGACACTTGACCCAAGGTAGGCCAATCAGATTCTCTCTCCAAGGAATCTGGAACTGGGCTCTGGGAAGTTAGTTAATTTATTGGAAGTGCTTAAGTTGGGATGTCTTGCCCATCATGTGTAAACAAAAAAGAACAGATATGTAGAAAGAAGCATGAGACTCATACTGCCACAGACAGGCAGAAGAGTAGGGCTGCCCTGGTTTTTGGTAACTTTCCAGCTCCTGTTAAGTTGGGTATTCTGTCACTTGTAGCTGAACCTAACTCTAACTGGTATAGGCAGGTAAGTCACCCTAATCACCCACAAACTGTCCCTTGATAGCCTTGTCAGACATACATCAGGAAATGGCTTCCCAGAAAGATACCATTCCTGTCTCTACTGTTCTTAACAGCCAAGGTTCACATAGCTATTCATTCATTCATTCATTCATTCATTCATTCATTCATTCACCTTGTTATTGAGTGCCTGCCATGCATTCATACCCTGTGTAAAAGACACAATCTCAGCTCTCAGGACATCACCATCTAAGGCAGTGGTTCTCAACCTGTGGGTCGCGACCCCTTTGGGGGTCAAATAACCCTTTCACAGGGGTCGCCTAAGACATAACAGTAGCATAATTACAGTTATGAAGCAGCAACAAAAATAATTTTATGGTTGGGGGTCACAACATGAGGAACTGTATTAAAGGATTGCGGTATTAGGAAGGTAGAATTATTCTAAGGGGAGAAAGAGCCAAGTAAATAGATACTTGTAAAGCAATGTGATTAGGGCTATAATGTTAGATGGACAAGACACCTGGGAGCTCAGGGGAAGCAGAGCTCTGTCTGCTTAGGAAGAGCAGGGAAGGCTTCCTTTAAACTATGATGCTTCAATCTAGAACTGGACAGGAAGAAAAGAAACTAAGACTGATGGTACTGTGAGGCAGCATGGGGAGCACTGGGTATAATGGTAGGGTTACTAGAGGAAGGATAAGAACAAAATCCAAAGAGATTTATAACCCCCCCTAGAAGGTAGATCTGTATACCTAGCATACAAAAGATGCTCAAAATTGTTTACCTAGAACGACAGTTTTCGAAGAATGGGAAGAATGGGCAAGGACCCATGGCCAGTGTGGCTCAGTTGGTTGGGTATCATCCTGTGGACCAAAAAGTTGCTGGTTCAATTCCTGGTCAGAGCACATGCCCAGGTTTCGGGCTCCATCCCTGGTAGGGGGCATGCAGGAGACAGATGATGGATGTTTCTCTTTCACATCCATGTTTCTCTCTCTCTAAAAATCAATAAAAAAATTTTTAAAAAGAAAACAGAAACTACCCTGGCTGGTTTGGCTCAGCGGTTAGAGCGTCGGCCTGTGGCCCAGAGAGACCCGGGTTCGGTTCCCGCTAAGGGCACGTACCTCGGTTGCAGTTTGTCCCCAGCCCTGGTTGGGTTGTGAGGGTGGCAACCACTCAATGTGTCCCTTTCACGTCGATGTTTCTCTCTCTCTCTTTCTCTCTCTCTCTCCCACTCTATCTGAACAAAATATAAAAAAAAAAAAAAAAGAAGAAGAAGAATGGGCAAGGAGATTAAGATAGTTTGCTCGTTCGTTCATTCATTCATTCTTTTCAACAAGCATCTATTGGTACCTCTTCAGTTAGGGAGGCCCCTTCCTTCAAGAGGCTCACAGACATATAACCACGCAAGTGCCTGAAGGAGGGACAAGAGGGGAAAATTCTAATCACTCTCTTCTCAAGAAAATATCTGAAAATCATTCACACGGGGGTAAAAAGGATAACTACCCTCTACCATACAATGGGCAAAGATATTTAAGCTAAAGAAATATAATTTTAAGGAGGAAATTCTGATCATAGCCTGGGGATGGGAAGGTATTTGGGGAAAGGCACAGAGGTGTCTAGAACGCCTGCAGTGATGTATCACAAGCTGAGATGCTATCTCCAGTTTCCCCAAAACGATCTCCCTGGGAGATACTAACCCAGCCAGTTTTCCAAACCTCCTCTTTTTTTAAAATGGGAGAAAAATAATATAACATGGGGGGGGGTCCATTTTCCACTTAACTCACAGTTAATGTGAGACTTACACGAGATTGCAGTAGTGTGCCAAGGCTTAAGGCATTCGGAAAAAGTGAGTATGACTCTTACTGTGTTTTGTTTTCTGCTTCTGTGTGAAATTGACCCTTATTTCTCATGCCTGAGCCCAGATAGATAAGGGCAAAAACATCAGGTCTGGTTTGTAGTGGGTCCATTTAACCCCCAACAGTCAGTCATTCTCAAAGTGGGGTCCCTGAACCAGCAGCATCAGCATCACCTGGGAACATGTTAGAAATGTAAATTCTCTGGCTGAATGAGAAAATCTGAGTTGGGGCTCAGCAATTTGTAGTTTAACAAGCCCTCCAGGTGATTCTGATGCCCACTAAAGTTTGGGAATCACTGGTCTAATTCTACCCTTCAGAGATGCAGCAAATCATCATGGCTAAAAGTATGGGGCTGGTCCCAAATTACCTGGTTTTGAATATTAATTCTTTAGATATTTGCTGTGACCTCTCTGTGCCTCAATTTCCCCCATTCATAAAGTGACAAGAGGTCCTTCTACACAGGGTTGTTGGGGAGATTAAATGAATTCACATAGGTAAAGTGCTTCTAACACTATAGTTTAATAGCTAATAATGTTACCCAT